TTTTTTTTGCACCGCCAGCATTAACTGCAGCAATTATTAAATAAAGCATTTTAAAACATTAATATAAACTATTTGCATGATTTTGGGGGAAAGAAGACACAGAAAGAGCTAATATGTGTGCTAGTGTTGCTCACCAGTTCATGAGATTTGGGGTGCAGTGATTCTACTCATAATGGTTATGCTTTTTTTCCCCTCATGCACAGAGAAAGCTGCATGGTAAGCAAGAGGAAGAGGAGGAGGCAGAGGAAGACACTGAGGAGAAATGCACCATTTGTCTTTCTATACTGGAAGAAGGGGAGGATGTCAGGTAAACACAACACTGGATTTGAGATTGTAGTATGCTTCACATGATTCTTGCTTTTTTTCTAAACAGTTGTAGAGAATGGGGCTCTTTACTTTGTTATGTAATGTTTTATATGTGTGGGTGTATTAGGGGTTGAACGACTTCAGATTTTTCTAGTCGACGTCGTCATTGATTAAGAAATAAGCCTGAGCTTCGAGCTGACACTCGAACACGGATTGCTTTGTGCACAGCTATGGCATATGACACAGCGCTGCCCACAAGGCTATTCACATCTTAAGTTCTTTTGTCTTTGAATTTTTTTTTATGTGAAAACGTTAGTGAGAGAGCGTTTGCGTTTGAATCAATTCTACCTGGCAGTGTCTCTCTACTAATAGGTTTTAGTTACTAAGAAATATATGATTAAACTTTTCTGTTTCTAAGCTATTTTTATTGATAAATCACAGAACAGTGTTGACAATACAGGCCATGTATATAGGTCATGACCAGCAACCAGAGGTGTAAAGTCGAGGGCCGTATTCATAAAGAATCTTAATGCAAAGAGTCGCTCCTAGTGACAAAATTCTAAGAAAATTCTTAGAAATGTGGGTGTTTATTCTTAAAATTAAAGAAAAAATCCTAGTAAAGAAATAAGTAATTCAGAAAGAATCTTAACCCTTAAAAGAGGTCTTAAGATCAAAATTGTTAGGAGTATGGATGAGGACTTTTAAGAGGCTTAAGAGTTTCTTTAGCAGAGGAGAAAATGGCAGAGAGACGGAGAGGGAGAAGAAATGTGTTGCAATAGATGACAGTGAGTTAATAAGATCGGTCTCAGGTTGCTCTCAGATCGGTCCCGAATCGCTCTTAAGCTAAGACTCCTACGTAAAAGTTTTGAAGCTAAATTAAGAGTTTTCTGAGAGGATTCTTAGAATCGTAATGAATATGGGCCCAGGTTTTTAGAAAGTAAAAGTCCTCAGCATTTTGTTCCAATTATTTATTTTTTTCCTTTTTCACTTGTCAAATTATGAATATAGCTGGCATGGTGCTAAATTATAAACAAACAAATATATTTTATTCTTTATTTTATTTATTTATCATTATCTCAGTCAATTACCATGAACACTTTATTTCTCACTTTATATTCTCTGCTGCCCTCTAGAGCTGTAACATGTGAATTACTATGTGTTTGTTCTATTTTAAAGTTGTCGACCCTTTTTTTTTTCTTTCAGCTAATATTAAAAGTCTGATTTCATTGTTTATTAAAGTCATCTGAATTTTTTTTTTTTTGCAGGCGCCTTCCATGTATGCATCTCTTCCATCAACTGTGTGTAGACCAATGGCTCCTCACTAACAAGAAATGCCCCATCTGCAGAGTGGACATCGAAGCTCAGTTATCTTCAGAGAGTTGATGCTATTTTTCTTGCAACCCTTTTGTTGGACGTTTATTTGTTGTTTTCCTTTTCATTTTTGTCAGTAACGCATTCAACCAAAGATGGCATGAAATACCTGCGCAACTATGGGAAAAAAGAAAAACAACAATCCACACAAAAAAAAGCATCAAGCCTAGCGTGCCAGCTATCATGTAGTACCAGTACAGCTAGAAAAAAACATCTTCATTAAGGGTTTTGAATTGTATTGTATTTATAAAGGGTTTATGTAGCTTTTTGTTTTCATAAGTGTCATTGTATTTTATTTTTGCATGGTTCCTTGCAATGCATTTCTTTGCACATATAATGAAATAGGCCTCAGAAGGCCTAAGAACTTGCAGGCGAGGATTGCTGCTCTAGTAAAGAAGCGTTTTTACCCGATGCCTTGCTTTACTGGAACAGAATGTCAACCTCCATTTTAAAACATTGCAGGACTCAATTTTATGATCAGTATATTGATTAGTTTTATGTTTTAGACAATGTGATCTATCTGAAATAGATTTTTTTAAGTGAATCAAGACATTCCTTAATTAGGAAACAAGATCATGGTTAAGAGATCAGCTGCTGTAACAGTGTTCACCCTCACGCCAATTCACTCTCAACACAGGAAACTGGGCTGGAGTCCATTCCGTTTCACTTCAGCTCATTAACAGTGCTAACTGAATTCAGGAAGTTGGTTTAACAAATGCTCCATGTACTTTGAAATTTTAATTTATATGCATTAGATCCTGAACTGATGGATTTGAAATGAATTCAGCTCCAGCCCTGATGAGAACCAACTGCACATTTCACCGCCATTCACACCACGGTTGCGTTCCATCAGTCCCCTCTCAGCACCTCGGTCTGACGTCACATGTAACGCACTTCACCTAATGTATTTTCAAAGAGAAGAGAAAGAGAAAAAAATGAATGTCACCTCTCTGTATTCTGATTGTTGTTGTTTTTTTATAGTATAATGAAGTTGGATTTTTGATTGGGCAATGGGGAAAGTGTCATTTCTCAGAGAAGCTCGATATGTTGACTTGGTTCTGTGAGGATTACAGGCCTGAAAAAACAGCCACCGCAAGTGTGAAGTGCTGGGAAATAGATTATTTATTATTTCATCAGGGTCTCCTAGCCTGCTTCATTTCTCTCTCTCAACAACCTAGAAACTGACTCTTGTTATCTGATTATTTCTTCACAAATATTTCCATTAACATGCATTTGTTCAGCAACTGTGCAGCATTTTTATTTGTATTTTTTGTTTTGTTTTGCTGCTGTGAAATCCTAACACTAAATATTAATCTCAACTAGCTATCTATCTTGCATATACTTGCACATGAGAGACAGGCGACGACAGGAGTGTTGTGAGAATGAGAGTGTGCTGAGGCCGTGTATTTCCACTCTGATTGCCGAATTTCGAGGAAAAACTGTAATAATTTTGAATGGAGTGTTGGAATGCAGTACTTAATGGCAGGCGCCCATGCATTCATAGACTTAATGGCCCCAGGATGATATTCCATGGGATTTATATTAGTTTTAAAATAATGAAATTAATAAAGTTAGGTAACTCTTTTATGTGTCCGGTTTTGTGCCTCCTTGAATCCGACACCCTTTTAAAGAATTTAACCGTGGGGACTAGTTTCCATCAATACCTTGGTTATTTTATTCTCAATAAAATAAAGCAGTAAAGTTTGTATTGGGTACTATAGTCATGATCTCATTACAAATGTCTAGTACACTGTACAAATTTGTTTCAGATTTTCTTATATAGCAGTTAGGGGCAGTCGTGGCCTAATGGTTAGAGAGTCAGACTCAAAGGTTGTGGGATAATATAGGTGGGGCAGTGATTGAACAGATGAACAGTGGTCTCTTCTACCCTCAATGCCCACGACTGAGGGGACAATTGCTGCCCGCTTCATCAGATGTGTTGTTCACTACTACTCGCTGCTCCTAATGTGTGCGCACTATCTTGGAAGGGTTAAATGCAGAGGACAAATTAAGAGTATGGGTTATCGTACTTGACCTTTGCGTCACTTAACAAAAAAAGGTACAATGCGATAAAAATGGCAGCACTGGGACTGAGAAAAATGCTTATGGTAGACTGCGTACTAGACGGCTTCGAACATATTGATAGACGGTCATTATTAAATTTCAAAAAATAGAAATTGGTATATTAAACTTATTTTAGTAATATTTATCTTGTAAACCTGCTTGTTAAAAAATAACCTTTAAGAAAAAGTATGTTTTTATTTTGCGATATTGATGGAAAATCTCAAGATTTGGGTCAAGTTGAAAGTGATATAGGCCTTGGTGATATACGCCAAATGATTGCATTCAATTTAATATGAAGCAATTCGTAAACAGTCATAGTAATGACAGCTGGTTATACACTGCACAACTTTTTTTTAAAACTCTTAATATTTTTGTATTTAGTTGGCTACTTACTGAATTGATGCTTTCAACAAGAACATGTCATAAGGGAAAACATTAAAACAGTGTAAATAAAGATAGTAAAGTTAGTCCACGGCCACGCCCCCGTGCTAATGGTACCGCCCACGGCGCAAAATACAAGACGAAAATTTAAAAAAAAAATCAGTTTAGATTTCATTTATTCAAATGGTTGTTTCTGAAGTCACAATTTAACACAAGTAAAATTGAAAAAAGGGAGAAAATGCAACTATCCATTGATAATGTAACTGGAAAAATGAATGTCTGGTTTCCATTTTTTTCATTTGCATTTTATTTTCTAATAATACTATTTGATGACAACAATACATTTGGAAAACAAAATACAGCCATTTCTGATTTTTTCTTTTAAACAAAAAACCAAGTTGCACTCTTTTTGATGACAACAAAACATTTGGAAAACAAAATACAGCCGTTTCTGATTTTTTCTTTTAAACAAAAAACCAAGTTGCACAGTTTTTTTTAAATTTCATCTTTCATTCCGAAATAGAAACTAATAATGAATGAACGAAAAAGTACACGGACCCGTTACAAGGACCAATGCTATTATCTGACCGAGTTCTTCTCTACCGTGGTCTAAATCATTTAAATCATTTCGATAATCTCTGTTCAGTTTTTGCTAAATATTAGTTGTTTTCATGCCTTTTGCAAGACACTGTAATTTTCAGTGACACTGTGTTGGCAACATAACTAAAACCTTACCGCGCGTAATATATAAAATCTTAGAGAAATGTGTCATTTGCATTATCATGACATGGATAGGAAATCGTCAACGGGGGTATATGGTTGGATGTCCTGTGGTGCTCGCATAGAGTGCTCGGTGAGTGTGTCGCTGTTGCCCTCGCTCACACACACATATATCCATTTACACTGGTAAAATGGCGTCGGTGGCCATTTCAGCGGAGACTAAGAAGATTACAGATTTACGCGTTGTAGACCTGAAATCTGAACTCAAAAGACGAAATCTGGATATTACTGGAGTAAAAAATACACTCATCGCAAGATTGAAGCAGGTGATTTTAATTTAAAAGCGTAAATTACGGTGACGTGTTGGCAAACCATCGCGATCTAGCTTGATTGCTAGTGAGTTAGCATAACGCTAGCATTTTTTTATTCCAAACATTTTTGTATTCCCGGCGTTTTTCAGTGTCTTTACTAACAACACAAATATAATGCCAGTATTTCGATTTTTGGAAACTTGAATTTGTGTGAAATATTTATTAGCATTTTTAGCAATGAATCTAAGTTAAGGATTTATTAAGCAGGCTAAAGTATAGCCAATGCCTCTGCACGCGCTCAGATCAGTTGCTTCAACTTTAAACAAATTCACCATTTCTATTTAACTACACTCTTTGTGTGAAGTTATTTACAGTTGAAGTGTCAAATGTAATGTTGTGTGTAACAATATACATAAATATGTGTTACTAGATATAAATTAGGAAGGTTTGTGAGATGCAAAACAGCATTGCACCTGGACGTTGTTATAGTCCATTGTGCAGAACTATTAGCTTTAGTTATTTGCAGTGGAACTTAATCCAGATTTATTTAACCAGAAAATATGTATTTTGGTGCTCAAACCTTCTGCATGCTGTGTGTTTCAGATCTGCACCTTCATAATTCGCTTTTTCAACATCATTCTGCAACACAATTAGCTACAGTGTGATTACAATGGGAATTTCTGGTCAACGAATATTCTCAATGTTTGAAATTGAATAGTCTGGTATCTTTGTGTGCAGGCGATAGAGGATGAAGGTGGTGATCCAGACAGCATTGAGCTCACCATGTCAGCTGACACACCCACGAGAAAACATGGCAAATCTAAAGGTAAGTTAAATCTTCACTATCTGAACTCAACTTCTTTAACTAACTTGAATAAGTTGATCAAATTGCTTTATTGCACATCATCAGGAAAGAAGACAGACCTGGATGCTGATACCACCATGGAAGAGGAATCCTTATCTAAGGTATGAAAAATTTGAAACTAAATTATTAATATATTGGTATGAATTTTTGGGTAAATTTTTATAAAAGCATTTATTCTAAAATGAATGATTTAGCGTTTTGAGCTAATCATTTTAGTCAAAGATTGTGACCAAATTTCATAAATGACTGCCTCATTCTTAAAGTCCCCGTGAACCGGAAGTTGCAGATTTTTCTCCAGTGCTGTGACGTATTTCCAAGTGAAACGGAATATTGAACAGAGGGCAGGGTTTTACTCTAGCGCTTCTCCTCTCTATCTCTCGCTCATAGCAAACTAACGGTTTGAGGGGAGTGGTTAAGCGTTTCCCCACCCAAACTGTGAAACCTACGTCATCAGAAAAAGAAACCGTTCCAGACCGGAAGTAACTTTTCAGATTTTGATTAAAGATTACTAAGGTAAAACATTTTTTTAATATATATTCACTTGCACGGATTAATTGTTCACCACAAGACTAGTAATATGCGCTAACAAAGTAAATAGGTTCAATTTTGATTTCACGGGGACTTTAAAAGAATCGGCCATTTAAATGAATAACTCGATTCACTCATTAAAGTCATATTTATGGAGTGGAGTGGAAAAACGCAAGTTAGACGCAAAATGCCTTCAGCGGATTCGGCCAATTAGCCAGTTTTGTGCCTCACCCATGCCATCGCCTGGTCCCTCCAATATCCAGAATAATATCATCGCAGCTCTGTCGAACGAACTTCAAAGTACTTTTGGATCGACGGACACGTCGAAAGCCGAGGTGCTTTAGATACTGCACACGGTGACTAAACACCACTCATTTAATAGCAACAGTGAGATTAGCGATCTCATCCATGTTCCCTGATTCAGTAATCGTGAAGACATTCTCTTGCAGGCCCAACAAAATCGCTTGTGTGTGAGCAGACACGTTCAGTTTTTAAGTGTAGTGTCTGTTCTCTAACGGAACTAAATTATTTTTATTAGGCTGCTATAAAAAAATGTAAACTACGGTGGGGTCTGTGCCACGGTGGGCAAGCAGAGGTGGGTAGAGTATCCATAAACTGTACTCAAGTAAAAGCGAACTGATTTAGACAGATCTGCCCACTTTTTTTGATGAAGTCTTTGAATAGAATCAACAATATCTTAGTGATTCATTTGTGAAATTGAGCATCGTTCATGCCCATAAAAAAGATACAATGTGCTTGAACTACGCATCTACTTACTACTTGTATTGCATTAAAGCTGCAGTCCGCAGTTTTTCCTCTGTCGCCATCTCTGTTCGAAATCTGCAATTGCAGTCATTGCAGAATTATCAAAATTACATGTTGTACTTCAACACCCTCGACACGGCACAGCGCGGATGAACACAATGTTTCGAGGAGATTGTGAGGCTGTCAGTCATCGCGCTGGTGTGGATAGTGTCATTTAGAATCACAGATTATTCTTTTTGGAAGTATGACCAACTGGATTCACTGAAAAATGTCATCTGAACTAGTAAGAAAAATCCACTTTTGTTCTGGATCTGACATTGCATTAAATTGTGCTGATTAAATCTAACAATTGCTTGAGTATCACGCAAAACCATGCAAATTATACTTTGTTCTCAAATTGTTAATGTTAACAACATCAGCATTGCGTGACATGTAATGTCCTTCCGATATGTATCCCTGTTTTTCACATGTGTCCGGTTGCAGTCTCTTTGATTCTGTAGCCACTCCGAAGTCCAAACAAAGTCTTTAGCATTTTACAGCGGGTGAGTCTGTTGTCACTGATTGTCGTTTGAAACTTTCTGGATCCACCATTCAAATGAATACGTTTAATTATATCAAGTGCTGTGAGAAAAGGCTATAAATCTCCACCTCCAATGCCCTCACACACAATATAACCTACTAGCTGTCAAGACTCCTCCTTTATGTGTACAGATGTGATGCAAAGGCGTGCTTGAATCTAGAGCTTGGTTTCGATTCAAATTTCAAGAATCGTTTCTATTCCGATTCTCAAGATCTTGAATCGATTATTATTATCTGATCTGATCCGAACTTCGAGATTTAGATATTTGTTTTTGAAAAAAGCATTTTTTTTTCCAGCTGTTACCTGAATTACAGGACTGTGGTTATGCAACATATTGATACTATTATTATAGACATTCAACTGCAAATTAATGTAATTTTGATTGTTGTAAAGAACAATCCCCCTTCCGTGTTGATACAACTGCTTTCACAAACTTGCACTGGTGTAGACGACAGAGGACGCAGAGGTAGGCTACATCAGCAGGAGGATTGCAAGTAACCGCAGGAACCGTGATATTCACGTTTTTTAGAAGGCTATACCCTTCTTGTTTTGAACTTCATGCATGTGTATTGAATGTTAGACAAGTTCATAATTATAGACTGTTTATCGTGGTGATGTGTAGCCTCTACAGAGGCTTCGCACAGTGAATGAAAGAGATCAGCAGAGCATGTGCGATTAGCTGTGTCTGTCTTTGAAGTAATATGTATTCGTGGAAAGGTTGCCGTGTCAAAGGAACGCGAAATAGTTGTCGAATCATCCTTTTAACGTTCACGTTACGGGTATTTACCATAAATGCGCATTAGTAGCAGCGCTGGTCAGCATCCCACATCGCCAAGAAGCTGCGGGCAAATAAAATCAGTGAGTCACGCATTGAATCAATGTCATATAATTAGGGATGGGGCCGATCCGATCCAGTATCGGTATCGGGACCGATACCAGCGTAATTCACGTATCGGATTTTTCCGATCCAACCTGCGGAGAAATCCGATATTTATGATCCATGTCTGCGCTTTAACGTTGGCTGCTGAAATGACTCCAAAAGGGATTCCCCGGGGCTGCTAGTCTGCTAGCTGGCTGCAAACTGTGGAATGGATATCCTGAACGGAGGTGCAGCTCAATCATAGACTGTAAAAAATAGGGCTCAATGAGACACACAGACGCCCGCTCAAGAAATCCATTCCGCAGTTTGCAGCCAGCTAGCAGGATAGCATTGAGCTACCAATATGTTCGCTGTGTGGAAATCCTATGGTGGAAATACTTTACACTGGAAACACCGCAGCAGAGCAAGACAGCAAAATGCAATGTTTGCAAAGCCGTATAAATTAAACTATTTGTGTGTGATGCATGTTTGCAATTCGCAGTCCAGAAGAGAAAGAGAGAGAGATCTCTCACGCGGTGCCACAGCACGCACAACACGACAGCCCTGCTTAATGAGTGACGACAGAGAAAACATAGCCTGGTTACACTTTAGATCTGTGATATTAGTCTGATTTCCAAAGATTAAAGAATATATTGAGGTAAAAAAAAACATTAAACAATAGCCGCATTCTGTGTAGCCGCAACTTCCTTCCCATCGCGGCGGTGCAGTCATTTCTCCGTAAAACTCAAACTTTAAGACAGAATCAGCACGATCGGTAATTGTTGTAAAATGCCGTCTCTGCTGTTGCTAAATTGCGGGACGCTTTTAATAATAAAAAGAGCTATTAAAAGCACAAAATTTGCGCAAGAGGGCGGCGAGCGCTCCGAAACAGACAAGCAAATTATACTTTGGGCTTCATATGCGCGTCTAAACGATTAAATGTAGCCTGCACAAAAATGTCAAAACGACCGGCTTGGAGATTATCACTTAACTACGTTCATTTTAGACATAAACGGTTTATGGAAATAGTTGGGAGAAAATATGGTGCATCAGTAGACTATGAAATCCGCACTAGTTCTTAAAGGGGCAGCAGTATAAATGTGACGATTGCGACATTACTGAGAATAAAACAACCAAAGGCAAAGAGAAAATCACTCACAGCTCTTGAATGAATAACTTCAGCTTTAATCTATCTATGATAAACTTTGCAGTGCTATTTTACTTTTGATTACTTTATTATAATTCTTTTTAGACGATATACCTGAATAATGTTAGTAGACCTTCCTGAAATTAAAGCACTGTGTAGGCCTGTATAATGTGTATCTTTGTTTAACTGTCTATCTATTGTTTAATATATCTATTATATATATATATATATATATTGACATAGGCTACATACGTACGCATCATCCTTGCTTGTAGAGAGGTGTTTATTTCAGCATCATATAAAATCAACAATAATGATAAATAATGTTAAAGCAAACACAGGTCTGGTATCGGAAAAGTATCGGTATCGGCCGATATCCAAAGTCAGGTATCGGGATCGGATCGGAAGTGAAAAAATGTGGATCGGTGCATCCCTACATATAATAAGTGAAGCATCAGCTTCAGCGTTGCCCATGCGACGCATTGCTGCTCAGCTGAGCCTTGACAAGTGGAACTCAAAGTTAAAAATGATTAAAACCTTGAACTTGTTTCATTACATCCATTTTAATGAAGCTGCTTTTTTGAACGTGTTCGTTGAATGAACGGTTAAATGACTCAAAGTCCATTGTCATAACAATGTGCGCACTGAGTGAAAGCTTTCAATGGGCACATAGGGATCTCCCATTCGTGGAAAGTTAAAGTTCACGGGGAAAATGTAGGCCTATTAGTAAATCAATTCTCTGAGTTACGGATCGATCTTTAGAAATTAATATGAAAATCGATTCAGAATTGGTGAATCGATTTTTTTCAACACAGCCCTACTTGAATTTTACGCCGAAATCCACCAGTACCACTGGAATTAAAAACATTATTACAAGCTTAGTGCTTTGAATCGAGCTATGGCAAGCACTAGATGAACACTGGCTGGTTATGTAGTTTCTCAAATATGTATTTTGGATCATTTTTAACCCAAAAAAATCTACGGACTGCAGCTTTAAAATAAAGTAACGAGAGGAATGTTGCCAAACATTATGAAGTAAAAGTACAGTTGTTTTCATTAGAAATGTATTTGAGTTAAAGTACCCACATTTAAATCTTCTCTTAAAAGTAAAATTTTTCGAAAAGAATACTAGTGGTACACGATACATCAGCCGCCGATATAATATCGGTTGATATGATACATTTTTTACACATCGGTATCGTTCAAAATATATTGATATGCTTTTTTGTTTGTTTGTCTTATTAGTTATTGATTAGTAAGTATCACTGAACAATTTTCCCAAATTCTTTAGAACTTTAGCAAATTCTTATATCAGTTTTTATTTTATTTTCAGGAGACTGAGGAAGAGGAATCCGAAAAAGGTATGTCTGGTCACTCATTAGGGTGGAGATGTAACTCTTGTTTTTCAGGTTTCAGAAGGTTGGACTTCTCTTGCTTCCTTGTTTTTTTTGCTGGTTTTCAATCTCAACGTTCTAGCCGTGGGTCTTGCAACAATTCAGACATTAAAACGTTCCATCTGGACCATGTGCTGCATCAAAGGACAGATAACGCTTCACCATTTGTGTTAACATCAGTGAAACTCCTAATCTCATCATCTAATTTGTTCAAGAGCACATTACCCTGCCACCACATGTCATCAGCAAGAGGAAGCCTTTCACCTACTCAAAGAGTTTCGTCTGTTCAGAACACCACCAAAGGTTCAGCAGGATGCCTCTTTCTTTCTGTCTGGACTACCCCCTGAAATGGAGATGGCAACAGGCTTTGACTGGTCGGAACATATTTTGCCTTTGACTGGTCAGAACATATGTTACCCTCGTTCACCAAAGTCTTGACGCTTCTTTCTGACTGCAATGTAGCCCACATGGCGTAAAGGGACATCAACATCACTGCTTGTGCTTTGAACTCAAGACTGGACATAGCTCAGTGGACACCCATTTTTAGCCGTGTTACTGGACAGAATGCTGTGAACAAGGACAGATTTCCCAACAACGGATCAGAGAAGATTTGCCACCCTGTTTTTGATTCGCCTTCATCAGCTGTAAACGGAGATGGACAGTCAGCGGAAACGTTTGAAAGACCCTTGATGTGACCACAAGAAGCTTAGTGACATCTGGCAGGAGGACTAGCGTTATGGTATAGATATGCAATTTCACTCTGACTGAATGCATGTCTGTAAAGCAGAGAAGTGTCACCATCACCCAGTTGTGGAACCTTCGAAATGTGGACCAAGATAGATTGTCACTGGCGCTGCGAGAAGATTGTTCAACCTCTTCGTTGTTCTCTAAGGAATGTGTTTTATGTATAGCTGTGGTTTCCTCACCCTCGATGACCACTAACACTAAACTTGCTCTTTGTTGTACTTTCTAGGTCACGTAGCACAGAGATGTGAATGTTAAACAATGTGTTTTTTTGCCATGTTCTATGCTTGTTAAATCCCTCAGATGTAACTGATACTGATGATGCTACTCGTGACAATTCTAAAACCTTCTCCTGTGAAGACGGCCTTGGAGAGCCTGAGCCTGAGGCTGAGGCAGGAGAGGAGCCTGATCTTGAGGCTGAGGCAGATGTGGAACCTGAGCCCGATCCTGATGTGGAGATTGAGGCCGAGAGAGAAGCTGAGCCTGAAGTCCCAGCGATGGAGGCCATGGAGAGCGAACCTGCTCCTGAACCCATAAAAGAAGTTGAGGATGACAATATATCTGTCACCATCCAGGCCGAAGATGCCATCACACTGGATGTGGATGGCGACGACCTCCTGGAAACAGGTAAACATGTGAAACTTCCAGATTCTGAGGCAGACAAGGGCTGCGAAGAGCCTGAGGCCACTGCTGAGATGAGGCAGGAGACAGATTCATTGACTGAAGCGATAGATGGCCGCAAGGATGGTAAGAGAGATGACGGGCTGAAGTCTGACGCCGCCAAGAAAGACAACAGAGAGGCCTCGAAGAAAGGAGAAACGGGAGACAAGGAAAAGGATTCTGGGAAGAAAGGCCCCTCTTCAACTGGGGCGACAGGTCAAGCAAAGAGGTTTGTCTTTCTATGTCAGTTCTTTAAGATACTACTACCAAGTTCCAGCTCAATAAGAACTCAGCATTGTGGGTAGCCGCAAGAATTTTTTCATAACAAGTTGTTCATTGTACCTAATCCCTGCCTTTGGTTTGCTCTTTTGGTTTGGTTTGCCATTTTTTCGAGTTTGGTAATTGGAATTAAACGAGGAGCAGAAAACACGTCTGTTACGCACACATTTCCAGCACTTGCTTTTCCAGTCCCTACTTATGGGTTAAAAAAAGAGCAATAGTTCCAGTGATGTCAGAGGGGTTTGTCAGTCCAGTGAAGTGATTCTCTCTGAAGTTGAACACCCTCCTGAGGATGTCATTGGTCAAGGGAATAAATTGGCAGAAAACCTGACACCCACCTTGCTCCTGTGGAAAAGCAAGAGAAAGAAGCCTTATTGGAGTTTTGTCCGAGTGCAAGACTTGCCTATGGGGATTTTTTTTGTTCTTTTCCTTTTTCTCTAATGCACCAAACATTTGTATAACCTTTGTTGTTCATTTGGAGATGTACCTCGGTGCCCACAGTCGTCTCTCATGCTTTGGTACTCATTTAAGTATTTTTCTCTTCTTGTTGCTCTCATAATATTCACATTTTAGCTCGTCAAAGGACAGAGATGGAAAGACTACAAAAGATGATAAAGGTATGACTTTATTTCCTAAATGGGTTTGCATTTTGGAATTTCAGCCTTATTTAAATGATGTATACAACAGCTGACCTAAATGATAAAACATCATTATTGACCTATTGTGTTTTTGAGCAGTAGTAAAAATCTGCCAGATACAATTTGAAGTTTAATTATTTTGAAATTGAATCTGCTCTAATGCTCAAGTTGTCATTAAAGTAGTGGCATGTCTTGTTCTGTTTTCAGGAAGTGGCAGCAGCAGCACCAGCTCTACTCGCAATCTGTGGGTGAGCGGTTTGTCGTCCAATACCAAAGCAGCCGATCTTAAGAACCTCTTTGGCAAATATGGAAAGGTAATGGCTATTTGTATGTTATACATTAGCACCAGCTTCAAATTAACGTGCTTGTGATGTTGTGAGGGGTTGGAAAAAACAATTTTTTTTTACATATTGTTTCAAAATAGGTTTTTAGTGCCAAAGTGGTCACCAATGCTCGTAGCCCAGGAGCCAAATGTTACGGACTAGTTACCATGTCATCCAGTGCAGAAGTGGCCAGATGCATCTCTCACCTGGACCGCACAGAACTCCATGGACAACAGATATGTGTGGATAGGGTAAGCACTTAACCAGTGTGGGATCATCAGTTGTGTTTGCCTTAGGCTTGCCACGGTAGTCGGTGTTACCGGTGTTCAGTCGCAACACCGGTTTCATGACATGCCCACCGCGGCACCGCGGTTGGCATGTGAAAAAAAAAAAAAGTTTAAAAATATTGAACGCAATTATGCAGTAGTCGTTAAATCCTGCCTATTAACACACACACAACCCACAGAAAAGACGCGCGTCGGTATCGAGTTCTCTTTCGGACTTGAACAAAACATAAGACACAAATTATGCCAAAATGTCCATAAGAGCAGTCTTAAACGAACGTAGAGATTTTGTGAGAAAATGGGACGCGTGTCAGATCGCGTCTCTGTCAGCAACGGCTGTCCAAATTCGCTCACTCGTTTTTACTTACTCCTTCTCATTCACTCCTTCAAGTGAACAGTATTAGTGGACTAATGAAGGGAATAGGCCTAGTAAATGAGGGTTTAGGGGGCGATTTGGGATTCAACCCATGTTCTTGAGGAGTGAAAAATAGAGGACACTCACAACGCGTTGAAAGACAGGACCAAGCAGGTAATATTTAATATGAAACAGTCTCAACTTTCAAATTTGGTCAGTCAAAGAAAATCAAACAATAAATAGGCCTACCGTTTTGTGGCTCTTTAATGTGTCGTGACCGATTGTCTGATAAAGTTCCACCGACGTTAATCTACTCCTGACTGCTTTCTGACTGATCCTGTCAGATCATGTCTGTCAATCAAACTCCAAGTGAAGGATGAATTGACGCCAATTTAAAAGTGAAAGTTAGTTTCGTTTTCAAACTAGCGCATATTCAGGGCACAATAACAAAACAGTTCTTTCCCGCACTACCGCATCGTTATGTATGCCCGTGAAAACGTGCGCATTTTACGTTTGCCTTTAAATTAGCGATTTAAAAGCCCCCGCTTTTCCGCTTGAGACACCAGTATTACCGGTGTTGTCACATGTCGATTAACCGGTGAGAAAATATCCTCACCGTCACAACACTAGTTTGCCTTTGTGAAAAAACAAGCGGTATTTCATACTTAATCTCTTGGTATCATCCTCATAGGTAAAAACTGACCCGTTCAAAAAGGACTTCTCAAAGAAAGAGGGAGAAGAGAAGACAAGTTCCAGTAAAATTTCTGGAGAAAAGCGCACTCTAACGGGAGCAAAAACTTGCAACAAGTAAGAGTTTATGCAATTTTAATCTCTTTCCGTTTCATTGGTTATACACTGGTTATACTTTCCTTACTTGTTTTAATAGGACTCCAGTTTCATCTAAGAAGGAGGAGAAGAAATCAGACAAACCCTCTGAGAAGGACAGCAAAGAAGCAAAAAAACAGGACCCCAAAAGCAACAAATCTGATGCACCATCTTTCAATTCAGGAGCCGACGCGGCAAAGAAAGATGATAAGAAACATGGACGTATGTTATAGTTTGGTTATAATTACTTACTGAGAAAGCTTAAGAATTTCTGTTTGTGTTTTAAATATCTGCATCCCTTCCTATCCACAGGAAAGAGTCCAGGTAATATGGTTCCTGACCATATTAAAGGAGATCAACACTTCAATAAATCTCGACCTCCTTTCAGAAGGGGTGGAAGGTTTGAGAAGGTACTGCAGACATCCTCGGTATGAACTGTATTATCATGAAAGAGGTAGAAGTTATCTGATTGTGTATTTCTTTGCAGCCTGGTCCACCCAACATGATGAACCGACGTCCTAGGTGGTTCATACCACCTGAGGAGGTTGGTGAACTCCTTTATATTGAGAAGACATAACCAATAGTAAATACGATCTGAATTAAGACTAAATACACTCTAGTATTTTCTTTGAGAGTATTTCGTTCATACTTGCAGATGGAGATGATGAAGAAAGGACGGCCCATGCTCAACAAAGGTGGAAACAAAGACATCCTGCCATTTGAGAAGATGAAGGAACAGCGTACGCGTGAGCGCATGGTCAGGATGGAACGCGTTCGCAGGGCTATGGAACTGCGTAGGTAGGTGTACATTCATTTACGTTCACACACAAAAGAGTAAAGTGCTTGAGCTGCAGTCTGTAACGCTGTTTTGGTGTGATATCCAGACGGCGTGAGGTAGCAGAGCGAGAGCGCCGGGAGAGGGAGCGTATCCGCATTATGCGCGAGCGTGAAGAAAGGGAGAACCTAATGAGAGAGCGCCAACGGCTGGAGGTGGAAAGACAGAAACTCGAACGCGAGCGCATGGAGAGAGAGAGACTAGAACGGGAGCGGATCCGTATAGAGCAGGTACAACCACGAAATACCTGCCCGTGGAAACTCAAAGCAGAGATTCTGTCTGTACGTTGATGTTCCAAAAATGTATGTGTGTGCAGGAGCGACGCAAGGAAGCAGAGCGTTTGGCTCGTGAACGCGAGGAACTGAGACGGCAGCAGGAGCAGTTGCGTTACGAGCAGGAGAAACGAAACAACTTAAAGAGGGGACGTGATGTTGACCAGAGGTGTGCAAACAATACTTTTGGATATTAATTCTTGGGGTCTAGTGATTTCTTTGGTTCAGTATGGTTAAGTTTTTCCATCTCTGTATGTGCAGGAGGGAAGACCCATACTGGAACAGTGGTAAAAAGATGCAAACGCAGCCAGAGGGCCGGATCGGTCAAGCTGGAGACTACAATAGCCGACAACAGAATCGTTTTAATGATTTCAACCCCAGAGACCGGAACCGATACCCACAGACATCAGCCGGGCAATCCAACAACTTTGATAGGTAAGCAATCACAAAAACAAAAGTAGGAAGAAGTTTCCCAATACTTTCATTCCAACAAGTAAATCTACCGAATTTCCGAATTGGCTCAAGTTGCGAATGAACGGCAACTGATGAATCCTTTTTTTATTCGGCAGACGCAACCGCTTTGACAATGAACCTGATGCAAAGAAAAATCGCCCTGCTCCGCGCAGAGAAAGTGCAGGGTTCGACCGCTATCCAAAAAACTTTGAAACTGTACGAAGAGCAGAGCCACCACCTCCACCTCGCACAGAGCTGCGAGACAGCGATCGCCGAGAGATCCGTGACCGTGATGAGCGTAGGCAGGTGTCCATGCCTGATCGACCAGCTGGAGGCAGAGCACCACCTCCTGTCATTGCTCACTCTCGCACCCCTAGAGACGGCAGCCACGCTGGCTGGAAAACTGATGGGGCAATGAATACGAAGCAAGGAGATGTCAGGTACAGATGAGCTTCTGTTTGGATTGCTGTATGGTTTGGAATTGAAATTTGTTTTTTATTCAGTACCTTTTCAATAATTGAATGATTTTCATGACAATTGGTCATATTACCTGCTCTTCTGCTTAGTTCCATCAATGTGGACAAAACGGTACTCTGACAGCAGTGTTCATTTTATTTTTTTATTAAGGGGAAATATTTACAATTGATTACTATTGATTATTTGGTTACACTTTACAGTAGGGTTTCATTAGTTAACATGAACTAAGAATTGACAATAATTACTACACCATATATTAATCTTGATTTCAACATTTACTAATACATTCTTAACACCATAAGTTGTATTTGTAGTTAATGCACTGTTAACAAACAATGAACAACAGTATTTATTTTTAACTAAGATTAACAAATGTATTGATCATTGTTAGTCCATGTTAATTATTATATTAACTTATGTTAACAAATGAGACCTTTTTGTAAAAGTGTTGGCGATTATTTTGACCATTTATATGAAAATTATAAATCGCATGAAATCACTGTCTCATCCATTTACATCCAGCATATTTTTTATTGCCAATAAGAACAACAATTATTTCTGTTACTTTTAAAAACACGTTATCGTTAACAAATACAGAAGTAGCTGTAAATGATGCACACAATGTCAGGAAAAGAATCATCCCTTTGCTAGAATACATTTTAACTGCACTGTGGGGCATTTTTTCCCCAACATAAAAAAACAACAACATTTTTGTTCCTTTCATTGGAATGAAGAAAAAAAACAAATATATAGCCACCAACCTCATTTATAGAAGCACGTAATATTGGATTTAATCCTAAATTTTATCTCGGGGCAGCAGTGGCTCAGTTGTTCATGTAGGTTGCCTACAATCCTATATTCCAGTATTCTAATTAAATACTCGCTAATTTGCATGTATTTTAAAAAGTGAAGTCTGAGTATTGGATAAAGCCAGGTTCAAAATCTATTTTTTCATTGTATTCACATATTAGATGGGGAAAAAAATTAGAGGGATTTTTGGATATCTACTTTTGTTATCTTGTAAATCAGAATTTACTGTCGATAACCTTAAATGATTTTCACTATGTTTTTTGGAATAAAATGTTATATAAATCAGTCTCGGAATAATATTTACAAATCCCTCTGTAAATGTCTTCATAATATAACTTGGTACAAGACTGGAAAGTTTGGTTCACTTTCACGATTGGTTGCTGATAAAAAGGAAATGGCCAATTTTGGATCTGACAGCATTGTAAACAGAAATGGTATATGTGATGATAGGGTGCAGACAGCGATCGCGGCGCAGCATGATGATTTAAAACGCCAACTTTTGGTGAATTTAGGAGAAATCTACAGATGCAAACAGACAAAGTGTAGTAAAATAAAGACCTTAATGTGTTATTTATGATTTTTTTTTCACCACAAGTCTAAAAGACATGTTACTGAAGACAAATATCCCAATCTCAAAATTGACCAGTGAAAAAAAAAACAATAACGTTTTTACCTGCCTCATCTTTCCTTAAAGACAGAAACATGAAAAAGTCCTTATGCTTACGTCAACTGAAGAGCATGTGTTTCAAACTGCGCTCGTATACCAGTAATTATAATAATCCAACATTGATTAAGGAAAATCTTTTGTGCATACGGATGACTTAAATGAGGCCCCAGGTCTTTCTTTAAAAACAACTCTCAAGTCAGTCTTGAACTCCCAAGATATCAAATCTCACTGAATAAACACTATCACAGACTGATATTTTTGGCTTGGCGTTGGTGAGCTGCTGGTAACCATTGATTGCTGCTTACTATTACAGAGCCGTGCGAATGCGTCCAGAACGTCCTGGCAGAGAAGGTCCTGGACCTGCCATAAGAGGGGTGTCCACAGCCAGCCGTGGCAGAACCAGCTTCAACAGTCGAGACGGAGGCAGACCTGTGGTTATGGGAGAGCAGGTGAAGTGTATGCCTCTGACACTTAGATTTGCAGACCTCCAGCAAAAGGATGACTAAATAACCTCCATTTTTTTCACAGCCGCACTTTGGCAGTGGCAGGCAGGTGGTGGTGGAGCGGCATGGACGCGATCAGGGCCCCAGGAAAGACTGGCACGGGGCAGCAGGATCACAAAGCGGAGGATTCACAGATAACCGTCGAATGGGGGACAGTAGGCCTGGCATGATGGCACCACACTCCAGGTCTGTTTTGATCTAGAGTGCATATTTCAATATGTTGTCACTTCTATTTATACCAGATCTAGCCACCTTATTTTTTAATTAACAACAGGTGGAGAAGTTTTTAATGTGAATGTTGGATGCATGCATACTGATTGGTGTTTCTTTCTGCAGTCATTCCTCCACTGGTATAAACAGAATTGTGCAGATCACTAATGTTCCCATGGCCGGTGGCAGCGGAGGATTCAAGCCCTTTAAAGGAAGGTTTTAGCATCTTGACTCTTCACAGCAAATACATATAAATACTTTTTTTGTTTCCTTTTTTTATTTTGAACTTCTGATGTTTTTAATCGGCTTAATTTATAGCCACGAGATTATTGTAAAGATTCACATTGAGTTAGTTTTTTTTTTTTTGTAAAAGGCTTTACGTGTTAGGCTTTTCTTTCCTGAACTGTACTCGGCTGATCTGTAAACAACCTTTGTGCACATACATGTTTGTTTAGATGACCATAACTTCCAGATTATCTCATTTGCTTTGGGCAGACTACTGTGTGTAGCACTGGACACATCTGTAATTCCATTAACATTTCAATGTGATCCCTTTTTTTGTGGTTAATGATTGTTCGAGTTCATATTAAATTATGTGAATTATGACATCTCTGTTTAGTTTGATTCTGTAAGTGTGCAGGCATACTTGCCCACAGTCGAGTCTGTGGAAGGAAGACTTTAGCAAGTCTGAAGTGGAAGAATGTTAATGACAATCGTAAGAATCACACAGACTCACTGACCAGATTTTCTTTAATCAGATGTATTGTCCCTCATCTAAGGCATTTGTTACAGAAAAATTGTCCATCTACTTTTTGACACAGTTGGGCTACATAAATGTTTTTGGTCTTTAATGAACCTTACCCACAAGGGAAGGTTGACCCTTGTAATATCCTAATTTTTTTTGTCCTTTTTCTTTTTGCTAAGTTAAAATCTTTTGTGTAAATATACGTATAAACACGTATAAAGGGTATAAAATAGAAATTGTAATGGGACTGTTCCTTAAAATGATTTAGGAGTACATGTTGTATTCAGCTGTTAAACATGCATCACAACTGCCTTTCCATTATGGACTGACCCAGTAAAATTTCAACTTCAAAGACAAATGCACCAAGATAAACCTTTCCAGTTCCCATCATTTGAAGACAGCATGTAAGTGTGGCATTTCAGTGTCAGTGAAGTTCAGAAAATAAGTATCCAATTGTAATGCCCTGTCAATCAAAAGCCCTCTCTTCAATATCAGATTTATTTTTCTTATACCTAAATGGCACTAAGATATGAAACATCAAATTATATTCATGAGAAGTCTTGCAAACCCTTGCTATCTGGAAACGGGGCAAGATAAATAAAATCTAAATGGCAGCATTTAGAGTGGGACTGAACCATTAGCAAGATCCTTATGTTCAGTTCTTAATATAGCTCCATAAATATAAGCCTTATTGCAAAACATGGTATATTTACTGGGTATTATGAAACAGGTTCAGCTGTAACCACACAAAATCGGGTGATTCTAATTGTATAAAAAGAGGTATATTTCTCATCTAGTGCATTCAATGTAACAGTGCATAAATAACTAAAATGGTCTATGACCTTTAACAGAGTTTCAAAGGGTGCTGCAAACCAATGGCCAACTTAGCAGACAAGGCCTTGGAATATTTACTGACACATGTTGGGGGTCAAAAATAGATTTAGCTAAACATTTTAGACAGTTTCAAGCCATTTTCTATTTGAAATAGGCTTTCTGTTTTTTTTTTAATAGAGCTTGCACCCACCATTCACCCCCCATAAATATGACATTTGAGTATTTATCACACTAACATGTAACTTCATTTTAGAAGCAAATGGTTAAAGCTTAAGCACATTACAGATGAATAAAGTTATTGGCAAACGATACAAACGACATTAGCTAATGCACACAGTGGGTACATATATGTGCTTGAGAAGTCTGTTGCACGTTGTCCTTAATCACTCCTTCATCAGACATGCTACTGATCAAAAGCACCCTGGAATGTCCATATTTAACTTGACCTGCAAGTACAACAATTGAGTAAGTATGTGACTTTCACGAATGAACTGGATCAGAACTGAGCGTCAGCTTATAATAATGATAAAGTTTGTTGTCGGTTAAAGGGATAGTTCACTTTGAAATTCATTTTTGATACGTTTTAGCTAACCTCAAGGGCATCCAAGATGTAGGTGTCTTTGTTTCCACAGCATTTTCAATTTTGACATTTTTTGGTCAAACCGTTGTTGGCTGTCAGTCATATAATGCAGTTCTATGGGGATCTCCTAAAAGAGCATGCACAGAGAAGTCCACATTAAACATGATTTAATGACTCGTAAATGTAAGTACACACTGGTGGCCTAATTAATACACGAAACGAGCGGTTTGTGTTAGAAAACGAACAGTATTTATATAGTTTTTACCTCTTGTTAACAGCTGTCGAACTGATCTGAATCAGATGTTCAACTGAACCGAACTTAACCGTCTCCAAAGTCACGCCAGAAGTGATCTCTCGCGCGTCTACGTCACGCATTGTCTACGGAGATTTCGGAAGTTTTACCTTTCACTAAAAATATTTAGATATATTGAAATCGTCTTCCATTGCGATTTCCCGTATATCTAAATATGTTTAGTGAAAGGTAAAACTTCCGAAATCTCCGTGTAAACAATGCGTGATGCGCGAGAGATCACTTCCGGCGTAACTTTGGAGACGGTTCAGTTCGGTTCAGTTGGACATCTGATTCAGATCAGTTCGACGGCTGTTAACAAGAGGTAAACTATATAAATACTGCTTGTTTTCTCACACAAACCGCTCGTTTCGAGTCATTAAATCGTGTTTAATTTGGAGTTCTCTGTACATGCTCTTTTAGGAGATCCCGATAGACCTGCATTATATGACTGACAGACAACAACAGTTTGACCAAAAAATGTCAAAATTGAAAATGCTGTGGAAACAAAGACACCTACATCTTGGATGCCCTTGAGGTAAGCTAAAAACATATCAAAAATTAATTTCAAAGTGAACTATCCCTTTAAAATGGATGACTTACCAGTTACAGATATATAATATCTCATTTCATCCCAAAAAACTAGGTACAAAACTTTTAAGACAATTCTCTGCCAAATCTATCGTAACTAGCTTGCACTTCCTACCGAATGACACCAATCTCAGAGGTGACAGAAGCTTGCTGATATTTATGAATTTAAATATAGTTCTTGAAATGTGAAATGATACCGTGAATGCTATTACCTTCTTGGGGAACAATAAAAACAGATTAACACAGACTGTGTTGTGCACTTTCTGGCTAAACACAATATTAGTACGCCAGCGAATTCACCTCGGGTAACCACAACTTCAAAAATAGTCTTAAAAGCCCAATTCCTCAAGTTGAAATGGTAGTTACAGCTATACATTTTAAAGGGCCGTTCACACCAAGGATGATAACTATAACGATACAGTGTGTTCTGCTTCTAAGAGAATAGGGAAGTTAACACTGCAGCTATAATGACACAGAGGACTATATTGTTGGAATCACTTTCAGAATGATTAAAATAAATTAAATGTAACAGCTAATCAGAATGCACTCGGCTTTAAATCCGTTGGTGTGGACGCTAATGTAGTAATCGTTATAGTATCATTCTTGGTGTGAAATGACCTCAACAAAGGGGACTATTTCAAATCAAACACTGTGTACATTAGATTGAATCTATATCCGTTACCAAACAAGCTAAAACACGTCAAACTGTTTGCAAGACACTCATGGATATGTTCCTTCTGTGAAGGCCTGTGCGGTTTTCTGTCTATGGTAAGGTCTACAGATTGTCTCAGTCTTGTACCTATTTGTGTCAGTATAAAAGATCCTATAAATATTGTAAGGCTTTTTATATACAAAGAGTATTGGCCGCTGAGGGACCAAACGTCAAAGGAACAGCTCCAGCCCACGAATAGCATCGACAGATTCTACTAGTGCTCCCATGTGACCACTGGGCAACCGTCCGTTCTACGACTACACCATCACAAGCTTGTCTACATGCAGGATTTGTTCATTCATACACTGCGAGAGCAGAACAACAGGGAAATCAGCCCAACGGTAGTGTTTCTCTGAGTCTGAAGCTCAGCGCAATGCTCAGCTCAAGGCATATAGCTGGAATGTTTGGATAGAAAAGACTTTGTCTCTCAGGAGGCAGCACTGGAACAGGATGGGCTTGAGTCATCCTTTCCTACCTTACATCCATATAGCATATATGAGTATGTACAGTGTACATGAAAGAGTCTGAAAATTATAGTTGTAGTTAGTGATAGACCAATATATGTCGGTCAGCTCGATTATTTGGCCAATGTTCAGCCATTTTTCAGCATTGGGTGATAACACTGGCCGATTAACATAAGTGTTCAATCTACTCTTGTTATTTCTATCAGGAATCTGCCATACTGCTCTCCAAATTTCAGTTTCAACATCAGCCCAATTTAAAACCAATATTTTTCCACCACTAGTTGGAGGAAATTTCCTTAACCATTCTGTATTTGGGCAATAACGTTGTTCATTCAACAATGCCAGGTTTCATGGACAATGATCCTACTCAATTACTTGTTTTATAAGGCAAATATGAACCAGACTTTTGGCTGAAATGTAAAAGGGGTGAAGCGAAGCAAAAAAAAAAAAAAATGGCCATGTATTTTTATATAACCTAATGACTTCAATATTTCAAAACTATGTACATTAATAGTAGTGTCAGCTGTTCACTGAAATTAACAGTAAATGTCTTATTGGCAAAATCAGACACATCTATGTCTACATAGCCAAATTAAATTTCAACTGCTTAAAACGGAAAACATTTTTAAATGCATCAGTTTCATCAGGATTACGCTCTCTAAAATGGAGGTGACTCCTACAATATCAACATTGTTCAATTTGGCATCAAACTGCCAGGCAAAGAACTATGGTGGCCTACATCAAGCGACTTGTTGGCTTGCTACCTGCGCATGTGAACGGCCTTTCATTAAAAGATCTCGGATATCCTTCATTCAAACATCAGAAACTGACCAATACAACAAACCTACATATGCATATATATATATATATATATATATATATATATATATATACACACACACAGGTAAAATCAGTATAAAATAGCTTATAAACAACTGCTATAACAGAACCCCCCCCCAAAAAAATGCTTATGTATTATGAAAAAAGTGATGCCATGTTTTTTTTTTCTTATTTTTGGGGTGGGTGCCTACTGCTGTGTACATTACCTTGTTTAACTTAAAAAAACAAAAACAATCCACCCTCCCTGGTGGTGACCTCACACAAATATAGTGCACTACAGCGGTTTTCCTGCTGAGAACATTTGGCCAGCTCTATGAAAGATGTAGTGATAGTCCTTGTAGTGACACCCCTCTGCTTTTCTAAATGTTCAGAACACAGAGGGTTAAAGTCAGGCACAAGTGGCTTGAGAATGGCAAGTCCGTCACGCTTCATCTCCGTTGCTCGTTCTCTCTCCACCTCACACTGGGAGATGTGTTGCACAGCCACTGGAATTAAACTGCTGCCCGTTCGCACTCCACGTAGTCCACTGCTGTTACAACAAGATGCATTTGTCTTTGTCCTTGGCTTCCTTCTTGGGTTTGCGTTCCCCCGTCGAGGGCTGTTTTCCTGGGCTTGGAGAAGCCGTGGCTCCCCCTGCTGAGGCTCCAGCAGCTGCCGCTCGATCCACTTGGTCAGCACCTGCTGCTGGCTGTTGTCCCTGCAGACAGTAGAACAACAAATGAACCCTATTATTTGAACTCTTTCAAACTGACATTAAATGAACATTCACCCCATCTTATTGTGAACGATTCATCCATGCGTAAATTTCATTTTCAACCTTTTGACCCACAATATTTCATTCTGGTGAAATGACTTCTTTCTACTGACGTTTGCAAGCTTGTTTAAAATTCATTAGTGCCCATTCACTTTTAAAAACAATGGAGAATTATTCATTAAAAGTTTGTTTACATAAAAAAATTGTATGTATAGTCTAAAAACACTATATTAAGTTTATTGCAAAATATTAAATATATATATAGTCAAACTAAAAATTATTCAGACACCAAATAATTTTTTTTTTTTACTAGTGGGTTGCAGGACACTATAGTTCATTTAGTGAGAATAGCAAAATAAAGTAAACTGTGACATATTATACCCACAAATTCTTCATAGAATGGACAAGTAGTAAGATTCATTAAAATTTTGGCCCGAAAATGATCCTTGACCATTTGATCATACACTTTGACCTGACCATTTTTTACCGAAGTGTTTTTTCTTTCATTGCTAAGGTGACCTTTTTACACCACAGACTGAACAAAATTAAAGTAGTTCACTTTTTAAAAAAAACTTTTGCTGATAATTTACTCACCCCTATGTCATCCAAGATGTCCATGTCTTTCTTTCTTCAGTCGAAAACAAATTAAGGTTTTTGATGAAAACATTCCAGGATTTTCTCCATGTAATGGACTTCAATGGGAACCAAACGATTCAAGGTCCAAATGAGAGTTTCAGTGCAGCTTCAAAGGGCTTTAAATGACACCAGACGATGAATAAGGGTCTTATCTAGCGAAACGATCGGTCGTTTAAAAATAAGCACAAATTCCCGCCTTTCTCTGTTCTGTGATGAGCGTTCTTGACTCTCCTGTTCGAACTAGTTCATCAAAATGAACAAATCTTTTTTCGAGTCATGACTCGAAGGGTCCTAGAAAAGACCCTTGTGTCGTTTAAAGCCCTTTGAAGCTGCACTGAAACTCTCATTTGGACCTTGAACCGTTTGGTTCCCAATGAAGTCCATTATATGGAGAAAATCCTGGAATGTTTTCATCAAAAACCTTAATTTCCTTTCGACTGAAGAAAGAAAGACGTGGACATTTTGGATGACATGGGGGTGAGAAAATTATCAGCAAAAGTTTTTTTTTAAAGTGAACTACTCCTTTAAGCATTGCTTGGTAATTGGTTGACCTAAATTGGTATTATCTAACTGTGTACTTAAATTTAACAGCTGACAGCAATTCAACTTAATTCATTTGTGAGACAGTCTAACAGTCATTATAATAACTCTTGTTTGTAACTCATGAACTCTTGAGCTACCATTTTCTAAACTATTGCGAATAAACTGTGATAATGTGAGAAATGTTGAATGTGTCTGAATACATTTAGGTCTGACTGTGTGTGTGTATATATAAGTATTTTGAATGCAAGTTTATCATGGTAACTCACCTGTGCCTGTGCAGCTGCTGCCGCTTCAGCCTGCGCCTGTTCCTGCTCCTGATAGTACTGTGACGCTCTGCGGTCCTCCTCCTCTTGCAGCTTCTTGGCCAGCTCTAGATCACTGATGCCTTCTGGGATCTGTTCCCAACCCAGGTCCGAGGCCTGCTGCTCCTGCTGCAGAGACAGCGCCATCAGGTAGTCCTACACATACAGAGGGGGGAAACTTACATTGTGTCATCATCTACTCAGTCATCGTGTTGTACAAAACCCATATGATTATTTTTCCATGACACAAACTGAGTTATTTGGCAGATTGTCTAGGCTGAACTAGTGGATGATGACAGTGTTGAATAATGAATGTACCAGACCAGATTTAATGGTAGAAGGGAATAATATCTAAATGCATATTATTAACGGTAACATTCAAAAGTGTTGAAAATGGTTGTGCTGCTTAACATTTTTTGTGGAAAACAGGATAATATTTTTGCAGGGTCCTTTGATGAATGGAAACTTCATTTATTTCAAATATAGCTATTTGTAACATTAGAATTTTGTCTTCACGGTCACTTTTGATCAATTTAATTCATTCTTGCTGAATTGAAGTATTAATTTATTTAAAAACATAATCCTACTGACCCCACATTTTTGAGCATTTTTTTATATATTTATACTACTAGTTGCCTTTAGTGCAGTCTCTGCTAAATAACTCCTTTTGGGCTCCACAAAATAAAAATCATACACCTTTGGAACATAATGAGCGCGAGTAAACAAATTTGTGGGTAAACTATTACTCTCTGTGTATAGCACTGTAATACAGCTTAGCCTGAATCCTTACATTAGTAATGAGCTTACATGATATTTCATGGAAAAAAAGCATGTTACATCATGCATATCCTGAGAGTTAGCCCATGACCACTTAGTTTAAAAAACTAAAAACCAATTCGATTGCTGACTTATCAAACGTTTAGAGCACGGTGATCTCCAAGCCCTTTACTCAAATAGACACTTCATTATTAAACAACAGCAGAAGAAAGAAAGGGAAAAACGGAATCTGTGTTATGCGAGGCAATTTGGTCCGGTCATCGGGCATTAAAGGCTCCCAAAGGCACAGAGGGAGGGTTACACAGAGCTGGAGGGAGGATTTGGGAGCTTTTAACATCAATAATTGAGGAGACTTTCCAGCGGGCAATGGAGCAGAATTGGTGCTAGAGGACAGCAATGCACTACTCTCTCACAGAGCCTGGCTGCGTCTCAACATTCACGGCTCACTGTAACATTAGTCTCCAGAGCTGGCCTTTATCAGAGGGTCACTGTGGCTTTGCACAATCATGAAATCTCTTAGTCACCTCATTTGGTACACACACAGGATATATCCTGAGTGATTACTTTAATACCACAAATAAAATATCAGGAGCATTAATGTTTAAATGGGTTATTGATGTCCAGAAGCATAGAAACTATTTAAAAGCTTTGAGGATTGGATCTTTAAGAAGAAATTATTAAAAGTAATTGATGCCGCAAGGCTGGACTTTTGCTTTTCATAAGACAAGTACCTGGAAATGACCCAGAACATTTTATCATGTGTTGAAAAGTTTTGGGACAAGTAACCACCTGAATTCCCAACTCGCTCTATATGTTTAAAGGGATACTCCACCTTTTTTTGGAAATAGGCTCATTTTACAACTCCCCCAGAGTTAAACAGTTGGTTTTTACCATTTTCGAATCCATTCAGCTGATTTTCTGATATTTCTGACAGTTTCTGGTCTCATTGACTTCCACAGTATCCTCCTACTATTGTAGTCAATGAGACCAGAAACTGTCTGGTTACTGATATTCTTCTAAATATCAGAAAATTGGCTGAATGGATTCGAAAACGGTAAAGCTCAACTGTTTAACTCTGGGGGAGTTGTTAAATGAGCCTATTTCCCCCCAAAAAGTGGAGTATCCCTTTAATGGCATCAAGGCAGCAGTGATTGTGATAATACAGTGAATTATCACAAACACTGCTGCCTTGATGCCATTAAGCATATAGAGCGATTTATAGCATTTATAGTTGATAATAATTATTACTAAAATTACACTCACAACTTCATCAACCCCAGTGAACTGTGTGATATCCCACTGTATGAGCTTTCTCATAGTGGCGTCATGCAAATGTTCCCTGAGAAACAATTACAGTACAGTGTTTATGACTGAACAACACTTAGCACTCCTAAGAAATGACTAGTCCTGACCTGATCGATCTGGTCCTGCTGACCACGGTACACCGTTTCCGGGTCAGAGGGCGGCCTCAGATGAAACTCTGAGTCGCAGAAGTTCCCATCTCCGTCAACATTATGCAGACTTTCCCAAACCACCTTCTCCTCAGTGAGAAACCCCTGATCTGTCACCAGCAAGTACAGCTGGGCCTGAGAAACACAGAGAGAGCATTTATAAAAACACTTCAGCGGCCTAAAACACTCTCGTCCATCAATCTTTCAGCACACACAGACAGAGCAGCAGTGGTGTCAAGTTCTGAAGTGTGTACATGAGGATCATGGAGGAGTTTAATCTGTGGGCGAAGTGTATCCTGCTGTTACAGAACAACTCCACTTCCTCCAGATAAAAGACAGAGGCTCTACAGTCTCCATGATAAGACAGATGGGGGTTATGTAGAGTCAACGTCCAAAACAATTCAAATTCCCATTCAGTTTAGCCCTGAATTCATATATACATTTAAAAAATGTATTAATTAAAACAAACTATTAAAGTGAACAAATACAAACAAAAATTAAATAGATTGTGTTTTCAATTCATTCTGGATGGTTTGATTAATTTAGAATTAATCTCCCAAACCTAACTTTTGATTAAAGGTATATTCTGTATAAAACTCCTGTTGATGTTGCTGAAAAATATATGCCAGTAGTTACAATTTTACTGCTAATTATAATAGAAAAACCTAATTATGAGTGCATTTCACTGTCAACAAGTATTACAGTTTGATTTGTAGTAGTGCATTTGATGGATCAAACATTAAACAGACTTTGCAGGGTTTTTAAAAAATATTAATTTAAGATGTTTCTGATGTATTGCTGTGTTTTTAACATATGCAGATGGTATAATTTGTGGTATATCATAGGTGATGAAAACAAAAACTATTAATAGCCTAATGCAACTTCAAAAAATAATAATTTGACTGCATATCCGCTTACTTGCATGGGATTATGTGCAGACATTGACCTTTCAAAGATGCCAAATCGTGGTAATTTGGTATCACATATTTATAGTCTTCACAGTAGCAGTTTAACTTTCTGTTGTTAGCCACTGGGGGGCACCCACATACTCTCTATAGACAATTTCTTTTACTTATATGAGTGCTTATTCACTGCATCCATCATCTCAAAACGCTGCAGAAGTAACACTTAAATATAAACACCTTAAATTTGGTCATAGTGCTGAAGTGATTGTTCCTGAAGAAGACACACAGTTCTCCCTCCTGTACGGTAGAGGTGAGTTCGCACAGGCCATGGTATGTTAGCTGAGTCGCTGTGCTGTTCAGAAACTGCTCTGCCACAAATCCTGGAAAAGAAAAAGGCAGCGTGAGACCTTTCTGACACACACAATACAATACAAAATCATTTCAAATGAACGTGAAATCTTGATCTCCACGCTAGCTCTCCTTGGCACATTACAATATTGTTTCACATAATCAGTCGATTCAGTTCGCAAAATAGTTTTGAATGATTTGTCCACGAACCAGACTGATTTCACTGACTCAATGATCCAGTCATCACGATCCATGATGATCCAACTTCTATTTTGGTGTGTTTTTCCACACAAAGCCTTCGGAACACTTGGAATAACGTGTATGAGTCATATGGACTAATTCGAGGATACTTTTATGCTATTATATTTTGAAGTCTCAACCTCAATTCATTGTAACTTCAAATTTATCCAGACAAAAGCAAGCAAGTCATACGGGTTTGAAACAACAGGATGAATGAATGATGATGATTGAGTGAACTACTTCTTTAAACACACTCGCTGAAAGTATATAATGCGCAAAAATAACACAGCCTGACAGATACAGACTCACGCTTGTACAGGGATAGAGTGTAAGTGGCAGAGGCAGAAAATCAACTGGAGAGAAAAGGGCCATATCAGTGCAGCATCAGAGAACAGACAAGGTGCATTCTGATACACACTCACAGAAAGAGTGAAAAAAGATGGCAAGGATGATATATTTAGACACAAACACACTAAGAAAAGGAGAGAGGGTTTCAGACAGCTAAAAAATAAAAGCAACTAGGGTGCTTAAATAGACACTCAAATCGTTGTTTATTTGAATGATGCAAACACTATTCAGGACATAGAGAAATGTATCCGAGACATTAATACATCCAAATGCATGACACCAGTCATAATGGGAAATGCTACGGATAAGCACTTGCCTTCTGTAACAAGAGGCAAAGGAGGAGAAGACAGATAAAAGCAGTGAATACCCACCTTCCCCGGCCAGCTCGCTGCTGTCTGACTGCTTACAGCTGATTATCTTCTCCACCAACTGGTTATAACTACAGTTCCCCACTGCCTTTACTATATCAGCCATCTACAGAGAGCCATAAAAAAGAAAGACAATATGCCAGTCAAAATATTAGCATGAATGTTAATGTTACATATAGGTGATTTTTATTTTATAAGGGCCATGTACCTGCAAACCACAGCACGTTTTTAACAGCTGAAAAGTTTTTTGAACAAAACAACTTGATTGTGAAATCATGATGCTCCGGGAGCAATGCGTAAAAAAACCCATTGACTGAGCTCAAATGCATAGATTGTTGTTGTAGCCCATTGATGAGCTTATGTCCAATGATATGGAACTAAAACCAACAATATATTGATTTTTTATGTATCTGTCAGAAAGAAAATGTAAATAATGTGTATCTTAAGATTGACGGTCCTTTTTATTTATTTTTTACTAAAGCTGCTTATGCACTGCATATCCGTAATGTATTTGCGAAACTGAACATATAATATAACTACTGTAGAATTAGATTCTGAAATTAAAGCCCACGTGCAGACCTGTGGGTCGACCAGCCATCCGTGGTAGAGTGGGATATCCAGCAGGTCGAAGACGATGCACTCGGGTGTGTACTCGAATACCCGCACATCTGTGAACTTAACGTTTACATCCAGACCTGTCTGCAGTTTATGCAGCACCGCCATAGCATCACTCATATTCTAGAGATTAGAAAAAGAGACAGAGCAAGCAAAGGAATTATAAAGGCAAATACAAAAACAATGAGGGAATTAGGGCTGTCAAACGATTAATCGATTAATTATATATACAAATAGATACACATGCTTGTATATATTTACGAAATATTTTCATGTATATACTGTATATAGATTTATATATAATTTATATTATATATAAATAGAAATATTTTAAATATAAATAATATTTTTTTCCTAAATATACATACATGTGTGTGTATATATACAGTATATATATATATAAATAATTATAGACATTGCACCCACATATATTATGTAAACACAAACTTTTATTTTGGATGCGATCAATCGCAATTAAAGGGATAGTTATATTTAGATATATCGAAATCGTCTTCCATTGCGATTTCCCGTATATCTAAATAGATATACAGTGAAAGGTAAAACTTCCGAAATCTCCGTGTAAACAATGCGTGACGTAGACGAGCGTGACGTCTGGAGACAGTTCAGTTCAGTTGGATTCAGATCTGTGCACGTAGCTGTTAACAAGAGGTAAAAACTATATAAATACTGTTCGTTTTCTCACACAAACCGCTCGTTTCGTGTCTTAGGCCATCAGTGTGTACTTACATTCACGTGTCATTAAATCATGTAAATCATGTCAAATTCAAAGTGAACTATCCCTTTAATCGTTTGACAGCCCTAGAGGGAATAGTAACTTTTCTTTTTATTTCAAACACAACAAATGCATGCATTTCTGTTAAATGTAACACCCAATGGGCTTTATGCACAGCTGCATAAGTACTGCAGGAGCTGGCTTAAGTACTTCCTGAACTTAAGCCAGCTCCTTGTTTCCTGTCTGCCACTATTGGCCAAATTGATTAATTCAGGTGTGTCTGATTATTGTTGCCGTGACTACTGAGGTCAGGCACACCTGGATTAATCAATCTGGCCAATAATGGCAGACAGGAAACAAGGAGCTGGCTTAAGTTCAGAAAGTAGTGCAGCTGTGCATAAAGCCCATTAATTGTCTCACTACCCCGAGCAGGAAAAATCTCAAACTAGCGACTAAAGAGCTCAAAACACCCAGAGTTCACCTCCTTTACTTCCGGTCTTTCTGTTTTGATCATAATGACCCTCCAATGACTCTCAAACACAAGTCACTGCAAGACTACAAACTACAGCTCAGTTCAACAGTAAAGTGTGAAGTTGAACGCGTGTGCGTGAGTTCGGCATTTTATATTACGTTCCAGATCCTATGATAATAATAATAATCTGTCCAGCTCTCCTCTAACTTTTAAGGGCTCTCAGTATGACCATCTGTCATGCTGATCAGACACAGCAAACAAAATGTGTTTGTGTGGACAGTTGTTGGGATTAGAGCTTGTAACACAACCATCTATCAACCACTTGATACATCAAACCCCATGAATCCCTTGAAACCAGTGAGATTATCTTTGCCCTTCTGTCTCTGGGAGATTTCTGCCCTGGCCATTTCCTGGTTTTACAAGGGATGTCCTTGCACTTTCACTTAATTCAGTCCCATTCACTGGAATTCTGGCTTTGATTTAAAAAATGTCCAGTTCTGGAAGCTGACTGGTCAACAACAGCGTTCAGTGTTATCTAAGTATTATTAATACTAGTAATAATCAGTAATTATACACATTTTAAATGTGCTTTTATTTTTATATGGTAAGTTCTCTTTTTTCTGATTTTGTTATAGTGCCTTTGTCATTTTCATTACTTTTTTATATTTCTATTCATCTTTATTTTTATATCAGTTTTAGGTTTAGTCATTTTAGTAGCTCAACATTGCCATGGCAACATTTCAAAAATTTATATTTTATTTCAACTTCAAATCGAAAACAACTTTTAATAGGCCTAGTTTTAGTTAACAAGAACACTGATAGCGTTCCAGCTGTGCTAAAAGCATTAGTAATCTGTGTAACTGTTTTATAAAAGCAATAAGGCAATTAAAGGGATTAGTTCACTTTGAAATTAATTTTTTGGTATGTTTTAGCTTACCTCAAGGGCATCCGAGATGTAGGTGTTTTTGTTTCCACAGCATTTTCAATTTTTATATTTTTAGGTCAAACCATTCTTGTCTGTCAGTCATATAATGGAGGTATATGGGGTCCAACCATGGGTCCACCTCAGAGCGTGCACAGAGAAGTCCAAATTAAACATGATTTAATGACTCGTAAATGTAAGCACACACTGATGGCCTAAGACACAAAACAAGTGGTTTGTGTGAGAAAATGAACAGTATTGATATTGCTTTACCTCTTGTAACCACAGCCACGTCCAAGTGATCTGAGGGTGTGGACGTTTTGGTCTGCGCAAGTGCCGGAAAGCACCGGAAGTGATCTCTCGTGCGTGTATGTCACTCATTGTTTACACAATGAAGATATAAACATATTTAGATATACAGGAATTCACAATGGAAGACGATTTCAATATATCAACAGACAATGTTGAATTTTTTGTCACAACCACACAAGAGACCACTTACGGCGCTTTCCAGCACTTGCGCAGACCGAAGCGCCCACGGCCAGGTTAAATGGACGTGGCTGTGGTTACAAGAGGTAAAAACGATATAAATACTGTTCGTTTTCTCACACAAACCGTATGTTTTGTGTTTAATTTGTACTTCTCTGTGCATGCTCTTTGAGGTGGACCCCATAAATGTGCATTATATGACTGAAAGACAAGAACGGTTTGACCTAAAAATATCAAAATTGAAAATACTGTGGAAACAAAGACACCTACATCTTGGATGGACTATCCGTTTAAGACCATCCTAACCCGATGACCCGATGGCCAGTGGGTGGATGAGAGCATGTAGAACTGGCACCGGGGTCAGATGAGCATTAACAGATTAGCCAAGACCTATCCACCCACAGCTCCCATTCAGTCCGGTTGACAAGAACGGTTTGACCTAAAAATATCAAAATTGAAAATACTGTGGAAACAAAGACACCTACATCTTGGATGGACTATCCGTTTAAGACCATCCTAACTTGTGAACAGTCAAAGGGATTACTAACAAAAAGCCTGTCTCTGTGACTAAATTCATGACAGAAGTTTTTTAGATTAAGCCATTAATGACTCTCACTAGATCCCAAATTCATTTTCACTTTGAATACGTTGTTTAGGATCCACAAATGTATAAATACTAAAAGGTGTGACTCTCATTGTCTTGTACACACAGACAGGATCAGATCAAATACTGACGTCAATCCTATTCTAGCAATAATCTTGATTAATGCCTATAACGATAGTGACAGATAATGAGAATTAAAATGAAGACTTTTTGTTATATCTCTTCAAGGATTAAATTCTAAACTCCATTTCAGGCAACTCACGCTTCTTTCATCCTCTCAGAACATATCAAGAGGACAAATCTGGTTTTTGACTTAAAATTTCAAGTAGTCATTTCCCATCTAGACAAGCAGTCCATCTTTGTCATACCCGAACTGTATTTAGCACTCGAAACGAGACCAAACCTGACAACTATATTCTGACACAGAGTGAGCACAGCCTTCATCTCACCTTGTCTCCGATCAGAATAGCACAGCTCATCATCTCGCAGCTCAATACCAAAGTATGAAGTTTCCAAACCAACACTAGACACCTTTAGAGAACTGCAGAGTCATGAGTCCCAGCTCTCCTGGAAAACGAGCCAGGATGAATCAGTGTGGGACAGGCTGACCCGATGGCCAGTGGGTGGATGAGAGCATGTAGAACTGGCACCGGGGTCAGATGAGCATTAACAGATTAGCCAAGACCCATCCACCCACAGCTCCCATTCAGTCCGGTTGAGCCCAGAACCGCTTTCAACCCCCACCCACGCCCAGCCTGTGTGTGGCCCGGCTCTGTCCCCGTGCCCGTGCCAGCATTTCTGATCCCCTCCACTGCCCTGACCCACTTTTCCCAGCTCATTTACTCTCGCTCCAGTCCAGCAATGTTCACTGAGAAGGCTAAACAAGCTTTAATACAATCAAAACATCTATTAGACTTAAAAACAACTGATAAACACAGTCAAACCTGAGAGATGTTAATACATGCACTGTTTGCACAGGCTAAACACACACAGATAGCAGACAGGCCCATTAAAGTTCTTCCAGACCTTTTGTGTATGTGTGTGTCTCCCTCACTCTCTCTTACTGCCAAAAAAGCGCTTCACTAACTCTCAACACACACAGAGCCTGGCCAAATACTGTCAGCTGACCTACAGTGTAGAGAAACAGCATTATATTCAAGCATGAATGAAGCTCTAAAAGTACATTATAAAAACTAAAGCTAGATCAAAACACAAACACAAAGCAAAATCTCCTTTAGACAGCAGACTCCATCCAGTCAGCCTCCACCTACTCCAATAAACAAGAACACACACTCGGGAACATCAGAAACATTGTTGTCTTAATCCTCACATCCTCAAACTCACATACAAAATAGAATCGGCTTTGAACTGCTTGGAAGTGAGATATTTTAAAGTGAGTTTATTACAAATTGCAATTAAAAGAGACTCACATTAGCACTATTATTTTATATACTATTTAATAAACTATTAACATAATGGAGGGATATGAAAAAGACTGTCAAGGACCTGATGTTGGGGGTCATAATGTGTCCCCAAAACAATTGGGAAAAATTTGAAAATATATATAATAAATGACCTTTTTAAAAGTTTGGGGTCAGTAAGATTACTTTGTTTTTGAAATAAGTCTTTTGTGCTCATTAAGGCTAAATTTATATAATGAGAAATACAGTAAAACGGTAATATTGTGAAATAATATTAAACTTTAAAATATTAAACTTTTTAATATTTTTTTTTTAAAAAGTAACCCCTTATATGATTAATGAATTGTCAGCATCATTACTCCAGTCTTCAGAGTCACATGAGCCATCAGAAATCATGTTGAAATCAGAAATATGCTGACTTGGTGCTCAAAAAAAATTCTTATTATTATCAATGTTGCAAACAGTTGTACAGCTTAATATTTTTTGTGGAAAGCATTGCACATTTTTTCCAGGATTATTTGATGAATAGAAAGATTTCTTTGAAATAGAAATCAGTTGCAACAATAAAATTCCTCTACTGACACATCTGATCAATTTAACACATTCATGCTCTATAAAAGTATTAATTGATTAAAAAAAACCCTTTTGACTGGTAGTGTATGTTTTTTTAGTGTTTTTTAGTCAGATAAAAGCTCAATTGGAATCAAATTACTCCACGCGGAAAATGAGTAACATGCAGTAAACCTTATCGGCCGATTGGGCAGGCCTTACAGTAACAAAAATCTTTTTTTTTTTTTTTCTCCAGTATTTCTTTATTCCATTATGGTGTTTAGAATTAGACTCACATTTTTGTAATGATAATTGGGGGTAAATCAGTATTTGCTAAATGATTTTTATTTGGGGGTGAAATATGACTCGTTCGTTTTTGACAGGCTTTGTGGTATAATACATAATATAAACAATCTATTAAAGAGAAAGCCCAGAAAATGCATCCCATACCAGCCATGAGCAATCAATCTTAACCCAATCTCCTTACATACCAAACACTGTACAGCAAATAGCTCTATAAATGGTTCATACTCTCTCAATGCAACACAATGATAATATTACTCCTGCCATTACATAAACAGTTGCATTCAGACAGGAATGAACCATTTTTTCCACAATTCCATTAATTCAATGGTGATTCCATGCATAGATGTTGATCTAGATGACTAACACAGCTTATTTCCTAAAAGTACTGTAATGCCACAGAGAATAACTGGCTGTTTAATGACAGAGAACAAAGCCAAGCTCTCTTCAAGAACATTAGGATGTTTTGAGGAGATATCTTTCTAAGTGTCTAGGCTAATGTTTTCTCCTCTGTCAGAGCCTCAGGCCTCACCTTTCACTCCTCATTCTGAGTGTTAGCACCGCACCACCACACAAACACACTATGTATGTAAACAGCCAGGCAATCTTTGCTAGACTTCTATTCTGTGAGTCACAAGCAAAACTGCTGTTTCTGTTACCTGTTCGTAGTTCAACCGCTGAGCCTCGGAGATCTCTTTTGGCTTGGCTTCAAGGATATAGTCTCCTGTTGTGATGGAGTGAAAGCAAGAAAGAAAAAGAAAGGGAGGGTTAGTGAAAAAAAAAACATTCGAGAGACAGCGCAATTATGGAAAACACATGCTCACAGGAGACACCGCACTCTCCTCTTCACCTTGTTGCAATTAACAAACTGTCTACATATGGCAGTAAACCAAAAGCAGTAGATATTTACAACCCCAGCCTTTCTGTATTTACAGCTTCAGTGTGAATGTCTGCCAATATTGTGGCAAGACAGTGATTGGAGCCTACCTGTTTTATTGGATTGGCCTAAAAGGTCAAACTAGCATGTCACAAATTTTGTTTACATGTGCATATCTAAGTTTTTGTGTTGAGTAAAGCAATCACTTGTCTGTTAAATATATATCTACACATTACGCAATGCATAATCAAAAATTACAAATATACATCAAATGACATAATAAAATGTATGTACAGTATATACAAATAGACTAAGGCAAACTGAAATCTGTTTAATGTGTATACAGTTGGGGCAATGCTGAGCGACCAACAATCGCATTACGTAGGTCAGTTAGTCCGACTTCATAAAAACCAAACTACTATGATTTCAATCAGACTTGAGCTGTTACATGACACTGTAAAAGTGCATGTAAACACACTTGGAGGTTGTCAAAGATGCAAATATCACATAGTTGTAGTGCTATTACCTTGTCTAATGGAAATTTCAGCAAAATTTCGCAACAAAAGTTCCACTGTCCATTGTCAATAATACAGATAATAATGATATAAAGCACAGCTCATACAGAAGTCTCTTTCAAACCAAACAGCTTTCTATTGGTCAAAATGGCAAATTTGTGAGACAAATTTCTTTGAACCCAGTGTGAAACCTTTCATCCTTAAGATCCTATTGAAATGACTGGATTTCACCAAACAATGGTAAATGGGGCTGTAAATGGGGCATCTACTTTGAGTTTGAGTCATTTTAACCTGCATTTGCGCCAACCATCGTTTTCCCTGTCAATTATAAGTTTGGTGGTTTGACCTTTGAAAATTAAGAAATGATCACAGATTCACTGTAGTAATATTTCTGATTTTCATTTATTATTAATAATTATTATTTATCCCCAAATGGTGTAGTGGTACAAGGCCTGGGACAAGGACAAGAGGTACAAACCGACCTCAAAACAAGCAGTTTCAGAATTCAACTCAACATTTAGTTTGACCTCTATGCAAGTTTTATCATTGTCCTCCTTTTATTGTCTTGTCCGAACTAACTCTCCTGCAGATCAGTGAAGCGGGCTAGAACAGAGAGAGAGGGCAGCCATGGCTGTTGGCATACATGAGAAGAACTGACCCAGGGTTTTTCTCTAATACAGGAGCACCTGTCATCCGTCTCATTAACATTCTGAACACACATCCAGCTCTAGGTACAGGAGCACTGCTCGGCTGAACCGACCATCAAATGAAGGCCAAAATCACTGCAAATTCCATTCCAAACAGTCTATTACATACTTGTCACCTTGCAAAGCTTTCCAGTGACTTATCATTGTACTAATAATTCAGCGACGCCGAATTATAAGATTGCACCCGCCATAGTTTAAAACAAACTTGTTCAAAATGCCAGAGGAAGCCTAGACGTTTCTGCTCTGACAAAGCACGAACGTGTGAGAGAGAAGCGTGAAGCTCGGCTGTTTTATTTTCGTCCCACTCCCTCAGACTCCAGCTTCCTCTGATCAGTGCCAAGAATGTGGCCCAGCACAGGCAGGTTCATTCGGGCTACTTTCGCTTATTTCTGCTTAGCAAAAACACTTCGTTCCAACTCCCGCCTCTTCATTTCTCTCTCAGTTCATTTCCAGCTGATCTCTTCCTCAGTCAATTTCTTTGTCTCTCCCATTCCAGGCCTCTCCTTTAATCAGAACCCATTAAAAAGCTTCTTCTGCTACTCACACTGCTTTACAAACTGCTCTCATTCACTTTCTAACATCAAGCTGTAAAGGGATGGTTCAGCCAAAATGAAGATTTTGTCATTGTGGTCTCATATGGCTCCAAACCCGCATGACTTTATGTCTTCTGTGGAACACAAAAAGAGAATTGAACTTGCTGCAGAGACTTTTTAACATAAAAATGTACCATTATATATCATAAAAGCAGTCCATAATATGGCGTGATGCATATTCTAGGTCTTTTGAAGGTTGTGTGAGAAACAGACTGATATTTAACTCTTTATATACTTGATAACTCTCAAAACTCACATGAATAAGTTACAGCTGATTTCTGCCAAATAACTTTTTTGGGGTCTGATTGTCACACAAAAGAATATGCAAACTTTTTTGGTGTTTTAGCATTCATTTTTTGAAGCCGGAAAGCCTCAGTCTCTTTTCACAGTAGTTTCACAGAACGACCAGGTGAATTCTTAAAAAAATTCCTTGTGTGTGTTCCACAAATAAATAAAGTTGTTACAGGTTTGGAATAAGATCAAGCTCAGAAAATTAATTTTTGACAACAGGGACAATAATGAGACAAGAAGACGCTTCCCCAAGTCTTACTTTCATGCTGAAATTGTCTTTTTAATTGTTGGAATGATGAACAATTTATTTGATGCTAATAAAATTAATTAAAATTACCCTTCTGTATCAATTTAATGCATTGAACATTGATCAAGCCAGTTTAGTGTAAAAAAAAAAAAAAACTTCTTGGGTTACTTGGGAAACATACTATAGTAGAAGCTCAGAAAATGAAAGCATGCAACTGAAGTGCATGCTTTGATCAAATCAGTTAAGACTGCGCAGTTGACAGGGTTTGTTCATGGACCGCTGACTTTGCCTGGAAATAAAACACTAACAGTGCTGTAAAGTACAGCAGAGGAGAGAGTGAGATGATGTCTAATGGAGTTAAACAGCTTACTGCACCTAGGGAAGAGAAAAGCAATTTACAGATGCCTGTGTAGCTAACCATGGATGTCTTATAAGTGTGCTTCTGAATAAATGCAGCTCTGAGCTATGATGGGAGTACCTCAAAATAAACATTCAGAAGGTCAAACAACAGCAAATGTAAAAAAGTGCCCAGCTGGCACACTCTTCATCTGTCACGTTTTGTATCTAGGGGATTTCCGTTTCTGTGTCAGGCATGCTTTAAATCACATTGATGCGTGCGCTTATCAACAGCTCAGCAATATGAGGAATACGTCAGAGTGGTCTCTAGACAGACAGCTGGGAATGGGGTGTGTATGGCCTCAAGCATGTTCAATGAAGTCAAATTTTCCAAGCTGTAAAACTGACCCTGACCAGCTTCAGGGGGTAGTATTTCTCATTTCTGAAGCTGTTGTACATTTGTCAGTAGTATCTTATTATGAGGACACATTATGCGGTCCAATTTTCAGTCAAGAATGGGGAATTATTTGAAGAAACGATTATTATATATACACATACATATAATACAAAAACACATTTAAAACTAAATAACATTATTAGGCTTTCTAAACTTAACTTGGACATTTTGTGTATCTTTAACCACAGCGTCTGCGTCATATGCTTAATAAATACTCATATTCTTGCATACAAAATTTGTCAAGTTTTATAACTAAAAATATACTCCAGTGACCACACCTATGTAAGGAATGACATTTTGAGACCACATCCTCTGTGGTCACAACCACAACACTTTATGAGGGTGAGCAAGGCACAAGCTTGCAAAATTCATAAAGTCTAGACTTTCCAGCAAGATTTTAAACGAAGGACAATCTGAATCAAGATCACCCTGATTAAGGCTAATTAGCCGCAACACATTGGTATGCATTTATTTGAAAACTCTTTTTAAAGGCTGAAATAAAGAATTTTATATAGACCATTTTGCTAGATGTAAACAACACTGGTCCAGAAACACTTCCTGTTTCAGTTTGTAACTGTTTTCTTTATTTCACATGTAAAGAAAACATCTTAAAGATGTTATTTAACTTTCTGATTCAGTTTTATATGTTCTGTTGGTTGTATTTTCTCCCAGCTTTTATGTAGTGTTAAAAAACTGAAACAGGAAGCGCTTCTGGACCCGTGTTGTTTACATTTTGCAAAATAGTCTATACATTTACTTTAACTCTGTGCACTCCTTGGGCTGGTTTCACAAAGCTATTTTAGACTGGTGGTCTATAGTGTTAGACAAGTCTAAAATTTGCTCATAGACTAGTCAAATGTATGCCATGTTTTTTTTTTTTTTTGAAAAGTGTCTTATTTTACCCAGAATGCATTGCGGTGTAGTCCTAGATAGTCAGAGTCTTAAGTGCTTTGTGCAACGGCCTGATTTCTGAAGTCTGACTATCTGAAGTCTGACTATCTACTATATCTAGGCTGTAGTCAACGTCTATCTTTGTGAATCCGGCCCCTTGTCTTCTGAATCCAGTAAAGATTGTGCATTTTATAAATTGCTTGGGATGTTCACATTTGGATACAAGCATCATTAAATGACTTAATGTGTTTGTAAAGGTCTTTAAGCAGTGTTAAGAGAAACCATTGAACATACATCGACCTCTGAACAACACCTACAGAGCTGATATCTAGATTCAACTTATACTTGGCATTTCTGGAGTGTGTGAGGCCAAATAAAACTTTTTTTCCTTAACAATCTGCTTTAAGGTTCCATCACTGATATTTAGAACTAGTGGACAAGATGCTTAAACTATTAAAAACGTTTTTTAAATAAGTGATAAAAAAAGCTAATGCAATGTGAGAAACTGAGGTCCAAGCAACTGTCTCACTGCAGTAACGAAACACTTCTGTGTCCCAGGTCAACATGCCACAGTGGAAATAGGGATCTGTGACGTTACAAGAGGACGAGCCGTTGGGTATTTCCCTGATCTGGTGCTGTCCATCAGACATATCATATTTTCTGGTTCGCTGATGTTCATAAGGCTGTTTATCGAACGCACAACAGAGTATAATTTGATTTACAGACTAACTTTATGAATGGATAAGCTCAGATTTTCTTGAAGAGGTACATGCAGAAAATAACCAAATGTTGAAATTACATTACACAATCCTATAATTAGGATGACATCCCTAGCTTTTGCATGATTCCTACTATAATTTGGTGTCCTAAAGTGGATAAATTTAAATTTTTGGGAACAAACTAGCAATTAGTGACATGAAGCTGCAGACTTGAGCATAGCTTTCCCATTATAATGTTGTCAGCGAGCCCACCATAGTTTGCATCACTCTCTACATCTTTTTTTATTAGCTCTTCAAATTAAATAAAACCTGAAACATCTTTCTTCTACTAAACGCTCCACTGGATAGATACTGTGTCAACAAGACCACATAAAGAGTCCACATTTATAATGCATATGAAATGCTTACCCAGATATTCCATCAGCTGCTCTGCCGTTATTATCTCCATCATTGGTGGCAGCTTGACCTGAGCCAAAACCAAAGAGAAATCATTTTAAAAGCAGTTTAAATGACACATTGCTCATGGTCATATACATGACCTCTCTTATCCTTCAGCAATTATGCTATGTAACACACATAGATGAGGGTTACTAATGGTGTTGAAATGGACTGATGTATCAGCATTAATGCACGTTGAGAAGATTGAAGGAAATAAAACAGGCATCATCTTAAAAACAGCCTGAAAGTGGCTATCATCTCCATAAGAAGCCATGGCTTTTAAGCAGTCACAGCTGAAAAACATAGTGCCTCTTTTTTCAAGATGAAAGACTGAGTGAGCACTGAAATAGCGCCTCGTGTGCCTGCCAACTCACTGTCAAAGCCAATAATTAAATGTCATCTTTATAATGCAAATGAGTCCAGGGCTGAAAGCCAGAAGTTACTGGTGTGTTTGTCTGTTTAGGATGTAACCATGATACTGGTATGCATCTACAAATAAAGGGGATGATATTTAAAAATCTGGAGATAGAGAGACAAATCTGAAGATGAAAACAGAATCCAAATCCAAACAGAATTTCAAGTCAATCTCAATTACCACTTTTCAAATGCTATTGCAAAAAAAAAAAAAAAAAAAAAACATGTCTCCACATTTTTACAATTTGTTTATATAGTTTATCCTAATAAGTCACCATTTAATAACAATTAATGAAATGTAAAAAACATAAAATCAGCTGTTCATATTATTTAGTTCCCAATGGACCCCTTTTACAGACTGTGAGATGATGCGTTTTCACATTTATTAACATCAACGTGAATATTTTTTTTCCATTTTACGCTATACTTTGTGTTATATATACCATATATGTTACAGTTATATGGCAGTAAATTACTAAAAGTAAAAAAAGAAAAAACACTGCTGAGAGGGTATTAATGGGAGAGGGAGTGACAGCAAAGATCATATCATTTTCCCTACAAACTGCTGCAATCAATCTCTCTATATTCTTTCCATTTTTTTGAAAGTCATGGAAACGCCACAATATAAATATATTTTTTTATTTAGCTATTTAAGCAAATGGAAATAGAAAAATAATATTTGATGTCATCTCCCATTCACCACTATAGAAGTTTACGCAATTATGACGACTTCTACTTCTGTGAAAAACAGAAATGTGAAGACGGTCCATATAGTATTCGTGGTTTTTATATTGACACCTAAAGGTCTGAATGCATTACAATGCTGTGCAAGCTGCATTGTAGTTTGTTTTATCACTCAGTCAAGCAACTTAGATCATGTTTTGTACCCATTCTGTTACACTTTCTAAATCACACGCATACTGTCCCATACCATCACTAAAAAAAGAAAGTATTTAATATCAATTTATACTATTGTATTCATCATTAGTAAATTTGTAAACCACATTGTGGGTCAAGACATGTCAACATGGCAGCTCCCATGGGCGACCCGCACCCTGCAGATAGAAGACAAACGTTATACGGTGATAGGTTAACCTCTGTGAGTTAGTGTTCTTCATTTGAATCAAGTATATTTTGAATAAGCAAATAATTTATGAATGTGCCTTTATTTAATGCCAGTGACAAGTTACAACAGGTGTACTGGTGCTTAGGCTACTAAGCAGACAAACACAATCCAATAAAATGTTTCAAAGTATAATTAGAACACCGGGTAAAACACAGCAACTGCACATCTATAACTTGGGTGGTAGTGTGACCTGTCAAACGAGCAGAATTTCATCTTATTTACCTTCCATGACAATAGCAGGACATTCATAATAGCCAGCAGCGGGCACGGCCCGTTCTCATTCTGTGTGATGATAGGCGTGTTCTCCTCATTCCACTTTATCCACTTGATGTGGTACAACGACTGACCGGTCACCCTGTCTTTAAGACAGGGGATTTTCGTTCCCTCGGCCCCGTATTCACTTTGAATAGCCAAAGCTAGTCCCTTGTCCTCCAGTCCTTCACTGTTGAGGTCTGAACTCGGGCAGGAGTTCAGATTGGAGAAGGACTCTAGTGAATCAAAGCTGCGGGACTCTCCTGCGATGCTGGGCTCATTCCCACTCGGAGGACCCTCAGAAACTGTGTGATCGTTTGAATTCGAGTTTGCAGGTTTTGCTTTGTCTGGACACAAATAAGTAGGTTTGGCCAGCTTCGTCGTTTCTTGTGTCCCTCCATCCAAACCGCCCGCCTGCTGCACGTTATTGATGTCAGATTGCTCTCCCGTGAGGTTGTTTACTAACTTTGAGGTGCCACCCTCTTTATTCCCAGGAACGGCCATCAACGGTTCGCATCCCATTCCGTTGCTCAGCTGATCCGCTGCATCGGGCGACAGTTTCTCTGGTAAAACGCACGGTTGTGCGCTCTTGCTTAGTGTCTCAGCAGCATCTGATGTCTGTGTGCAGGGTGTAGCATTAGCACCGCTAGCACTTGCACAAGTACTCAAAGTCTCTCTCTTCTCGCAGACATCTTTCATTCCGCCGACTGTTTTGATATCTGCGGGTTCTGCGCGGATAGCGGTGCACAGGACACTTCCTCCAGCGTCTCGATGAGGGTTTGCATTCTTCTCCATTTCGCTGAAAGCACCAACGACAACCTTTAACTAGATGGCAAGCTCCAGTCTCAGCTCCGACGACGCCATGACATCTCCACCTCTGACGTCATCCCTTCATAAGGCACTTATTTACCGACTACAAACAAACACTGACTGTATGTCATTTTACTAGCAGAAAGGTATACTCCCCGTCATGTTGTTCCAGACCTGTATTACTTTTTTATTTCGCTTAGCTCAGCAGGAGATGTTTGGCAAAATAGACTGACAGCCTCAGGGGCATTGCCTAAGGGGCAATGAAACTAAATGGAGACTGAGGCTGTCATCTCCTTTGGTGTTTCACATAAATATTGACTCAATTTTAATTTTAACTCTTATTTTAACAGATATAACTTCTGAATGAATACAAAACAACATGATCAATTTTATATCGGATTATCGGTCCTACAAGCCAAAATCCAGAAAACTCGGGACATTTTGTAAAATGCAATAAAATCAAGAATCTGTGATTTGTTAATTATCTTTAACCTTTATTTAAATAAAAAAAAAGTACAGAGAAAATATTTTCAAAGTTTTCCCTCACTAACCTTGGTGTATTTCACAAATATATCTATTTTTATGGCTGCAACACACTACAAATAACCTGGGACAGATGCAAAATAAAAGTGAAAAGCTTATTAAGTTAACTCTTTTGAAACCGTCCACAATAAGTAGATGAATTGACCATAAGTAAGGGCATTGTGACTGAGTGTAAAAGGAGCTTCTCTGTCTTTGCAAGCAGAGATGGGTCATCATGGCTCATCACTTTGTGCCAAATATTAAGAGAGAATTCTCAAACAGTTTGAAATCACATTTCTTAATGCAAGATTGCAAAGATTTAAGTCTTTCACCTTCTACCAAACATAAATATTGTAAAAAGATTCAGAGAATCCAGAGAACCATTGCCCCTTAACACACTCTGCTGCTGCATCATGAATCTTTGTTACAAAAAGATAAATCTATACACGCCCATTTTATGCAAAGATGCCGACAAGTTCTCTGGACCCGAGCTCATCACAGATTATCCAAGACACAGTGGAAATCTGTGCTTCAGTCAAATTTCAGCTTGTTTTGGAGAAAACAGACATGGAGTTCTCAGTCCCCCATAAAAGGACGATCCAGATTTCATCAGAGACAGGTGCAAAAGCAAACATCTGTCATGGGGGTACGTCAGTGCAAACGGTATGGGTGACTTGTTTGTGAAGGAACCATTGACTTGGATGCATATATTGGGATTGTACAGAGACATTTAAACTCAATTCCCAAACATTTAAAAAGTTTAATTTAAAAGGAATGGTGATGTGACACAATGGTAAACATGCTTCTCTTTTTGGAGTGTGCTACAGCCTTCAAACAACTTTGGAAATCTTTTTTATTATTAAATAAAAGTTAAAAACATTGAACAAATCACAGATTCTTGATTTTATTGCATTTTACAAAATAATTATTATTATTAGTAACAAATTTGGGTTGTAAGTTAGTGTACTTATTTTTTATTACTCCAAAATTCAAGGTTTCAAAAGAAAAACAAAAAAAGATTAATGTGTTTAGAGCTATGGTAATGTACCATTATGTAAAGTTCTCGCTGTTACATTTTTTAAAGTCTCATGCCTTGCTTGTGTTAGCCCACTTTTTGTTCTTTTATTTTGTTAGTTTGTTTTGTTGTCATTGATTTGTGCGCATCATTTATTTTGTAGACTACATTATTTAAAAAAAATAAAACAACCCTATATAAAATAATGTGTAGATTTTTTTTCCTGATAACTGTCATGCAAAGTTATTCTACACGTGATGGATTAATATAATCTTTCGTGGATTTTGAATTTCTCCTCACCACATATATATGCCGTGGTCACGTGTGAAAGATTTTACGTCAGTGTATTTCATGGAAATTTGATGTGACATCACGCAGTATCAACATCAAATTCAAACCCATCTAGAAATAGTTCTATCCACCGCACGATGGCAACGTTGAGCTAGATATTGTTTACAAATAATAATTCTTGCATACCGATTTACTTTAATTTACTTTTCGCTTTTACAATTCGCTTTTTACAATAGCCCTACTAATTGTATCAAAGCAGGTTGAAAGTATAACATGAAAATAATAATTCAACAAAGTTTATATATAGAAGAAAATTGCGTTCTCGTCCACCTGAAGTATAAGGCAGGCCAATAATGTAAGGCAGATAAATAATAATAGGTCAGTCTATTTATAATTAGCTGTGCATAAAACAGAAGTCTATGGAATGTTTGCATTCAGATATGATTGAGATCAAGGCGCTTAGCTGTGGCTTTGTAAAATACAAGATGCTAATTGTTACTTGGTTTTCAGTTTCAGTGCAAAGTAAAGGAAGATAACTCAATGGCACGGCCAATCCACTTGTTTTTAATTATTAATTTAGGCTATTAATATACAAACTATACCAAAATGTAAAAAAAGTATTTGGCATAAGGATCTCAAAGAAACACAACTAATGTTATAGTTTCAAATAGCTGTCACTCTCCTCCAACATAATAATTTATTCTATTATATTCTTCAAAGTCTCAGAGAACAAAAACGTTCATCTTTTCTAGACATCCTTTCATGTCCTCGGGTGGGCGTGGTTTACGCTCTGCCTGCGCCTGACGTCAGGCCGTTAGAGACAAGCCCGGAGCCGAGGCCGCACAGCAGCAGCATCCGTCACACATACACAAACATTCACCGAGGGCGACTGCGCCTTTAAGACACGCAAAACTAACAATCAAACCAGCCTCGGTGTCAATGTGCGAGCGATGAATTTACTCGATATGGTTTTGTTCAAACTCTTGATGTTGTTATACTGCTTGAGCGACACCAGAGGTAAGTGTGTTTTGCTTTAGTTCTGGAAAAAGTGACGGTTAATCGGATTGTGCTTTAGCTGAAGTGAGCTATATGGGAGGGGTGAGCATAGTGAGACTGAGTGTGAGTGCGGAAGTGAAACTAAACACCAAAAATAGGCAACTTTTACAGTAAAACACGTGGAATTTCATGTTTATAAGCATACCAGCATTTTATATTAGACAGTGTGGTGGGGAGTTTTCAAAACGACTTTTATTGGGATTTTTTAGAAGAATGGTGATAAATGTCCTAGCTAGCTGTCCTGTCAATGAGAACCCTGCTAGCTAACTTGACGAATGTATTCATTCACAATAGAGTAACGTCGATTAGAATTGAGACAGACGATGAATTTGTTCAGTTTATACGTTTCTGTTTTGTTTGTCTTCTTGGTTTGTTATTTCAGAAGAAAATTGTCGAGTGCGCAATGTTTGCCAGAGAAAAAACAAGAGTGCGAAATGAAAGACTAACGTTACACACCTTTCCTAATAATTTTCACTCAAAAGACGAGGTCACCGCAGTGCTGGTACTTGTCTAGTTCACTTGTGTTTTACAGAAGGCATGTGTGAGATTTTATGATAAAAGTACTGAATAAAATCTAACAAAAAAGTAAATAAATAATAATAATAACTATTAACAACATTTACGTTGTATAGTGTATTAAGTTCACGATTAGAGTTTGGGTTGGGATTAGTCTTTACTAGTATCTAAGTATAATAAACATTGTTTGCCAACAATAGAATAATCTGTTGTCAGTTGTCTGACAATATAGTTGTCTGCCACTTCTTCACAACCAGGCTTTCTAGGGCTGCTAAAGATAACAAATTCTTAAGAAGTGTGTATAAGGTGTTTAAAAGATAAATTCACTCCAGAATTAAAATGTCATGATTATTTATTTACCCCCATGTCATCCAAGATGTTCATGTCTTTCTTCAGTCAAAAAGATATTAAGGTGTTTGAGGAAAACATTCCAATTTTCTCCATAGTGTACTTCATCAGGGACAACGGGTCGAAAGGTCGCCCGTGACATAGGCGAAAGTGGGAAACACTCCATCTCATTTTCTCCTCCAACTTCAAAATTGTCATGTTGTTGTTTTACCTTTTTTTTTGTAAAGGTTGTTTGTCTTAGTCTTTGCAAACACCAGATTGCAATTTAGACCTTCAACCTGTTGGTCCCCTTTGAAGTCCACTATATGGAGAAAAATCCTGGAATGTTTTCCTCAAAATCCTTCATTTCTTTTTGATTGAAGAAAGGAAGACATGAACATCTTGGATAACATGGGGGTGGGCAAATTATCAGGAAATTTTTATTCTGGAATGAACTAATCTTTTAAAGGGTTATGAAACCCCAAATTTTCAGAGATTTTAACTGAGGTTTGTGTGTTGAACACCATTGTTAGCATCTGTCAGATTTAATAGTAGGGTTAAAATGGTTAATTTTGAGGGTGTTTTTTCCCCCCGCTTTTTTCGTCTTCCGGTTTTAAAATCTTCATCGGACCCACGTCATAGACTGTGACGTAGCCGTGCACTGTGAGTGCTTGGTGACTCATCATCGGTGTCTCATAATTATTAATGAGACTGAGTTTTTATATCCTATGAAAATACACTGGCTTTTAATTATTCATGACACCACATGGATCTTTCTTTGACAGACATGTCAAACTGTGATATCGCGTAGTAGATGAGAGAGGCAATCATGGCACGCAAGTGTTTGTTTTTATGGTACAAAAGTCCAAATGGGTTGAATATGTTTCCCCGTGATGCTGCCAGGGCTAGACTCTGGCTCGGGACGGTTGGTTTGCCATCAACCATGGACACATCTAAACAGTCTATGACCTAAACTATAGTGTGTCGCAAACATTTTCTCGAGAGAGAGCTGCGAGAAATGGAGAATGGTGGACTTCGCCTTATTGACAACCAATCCAAGTTGCATCTCGCGAGTGATGCGGTACCAAGTCCCGAGGACTTTTCTATCCCTTTAGAGGTGTGTGTATGTGTGTGTGTCTAAAATGAGAAGTCATCCACCTCCACATAACCATCTTTATTATGGGGGTTCAGGGGGCATGTAGATCTAGGCTATGCACAGAACGATTTTTTAAGCGGAAAATTAATAATTTTCAAATGCATTTATAGTGTGTAAATATATAT